ATTGTTATAACCCCAATTTTGACAATATGATGATTTAGATTTTTTTTTTTTTTTTTTAGTATAGATTTCTCATGATTATTCTTTTTTATTTATTGTTGTTGTTGCGTTATTATTATTATTATTATTATTATTTAATATTATTGTTGTTATTATTGTCATTATTATTAGATTTCAGTTTCATTTAATGTTTGAATTTGAGATTAAATTCTCATTTATCATTTTATTATAAATACCAAAATTAAAAAAAAAAAAGATAAAAAAGGGGAAGAGTTTTAATTTCTGATTTTGGGGTTTTAATTGTAATTAATTTAAATTTTTCGTGGGTCAATTTAGAAATAATTGGGGGTAATAAGTGAAAATTGAGACAAAAAGGATCAAAATACTCCACCTAAGGAACTCGATTGAAAGGAAATTAGATATGGAAGGAGGAAACTGGGAAAGATCGCGGACGACAGGACGAACTTGAACATTCACCAGAACGATCTGTCGTCTGCCTGGCCCCTGGTTTATCTCCGATCTGCAGCAGAAAGAAACAGAGCATGGCTATCATGCCCTCTGTTTCTCCATTTTTAGTTCTTTTAGTAGCAAAGAAGAAAAAATGGCAATGAAAGTAGAAGGAGAGGATTTTTAGGGATGGGAAAGGAAGGGCCATGATCCAGGATAGAAGATGAAAGGTTTAATATTGAAAGGGGGTGATTTTAAAAAGAGGAGAGGGTGACAGAAACAGAAAAAGAAAGAGGAGGAGGAGAAGGAAAAAAAGGGAGAGTAGAGTTTTTAAAAAAAAAAGTTCTTTGTTCTCTCAAAAGCTTCTGCCATTTTATCTTCTTCACTCCGAGAAGGGGAGTGGAATTAACCTTGAACATCTCTCTTTCCATTTCAGCTAGTAAAAATTTCCAAGGGGTAAAACTTCTCATCAATGGCTTCACTTTCTCTCTCTCTAAAAAGCTCCGCCTAGTTTGAAAATAATGGGTTGAAAACAATTTGGGCATAAACTCCATGGGTCTATGAGGGAGGGGTGAGTTTTGAGGGGTTAAAAACACACAAATCAAAAAAAAAGTGGAACATTTTTCATGCAACTTTCGGCCATTAATGGGTTGTTTCTGGTTCATTTCAAACGGGAGGGAAGGGTGAATTTGTTAAACGTTTTGTCCTGATAGTTGTATGGTCTCTTTATTTTGGTATCAATAATAATATTTTTTCAATCAGGTCCCTAATGTGTACTAATTGGGGGATGAAATTGATAAGAGTTTTAATTCTATAGTGAGTTTTGGTTTTTATTCATTTTTTATAGGTCTACTCTAATTATTTAAATCTGAAATTTTTAGGGTTTATATATATATGCTTGTATTTCACTTTCATTTTAAATTTTATAATTATTGGAGTTCGTTTGATATTATTTTTGTAATTTATTTGCTTATTTTGCATTTATCTAATTTATTAGGATGAATTGTTTCAAATTTAATTATTAAATCCAGTGTTTAATTTTATTTAAACCTGAAATTTTTAGGATGTGTTCGATGTGTTTGTCCTTGGCTTCTATTTTAAATTTTGTAATTTTAGGAGTTCATTCATTATTATTTTTGCAAATTATTCATTATTCTGGTGTTTATTTATTTATTTATTATTGTTGAGGGCTGCCACCGAAATTAATTAATTGGGCCAGTTCCTGATTCAATTTTATTATTGAGTTGTACATATACATGTCTTCAGCTTATGTTTTAAATTTCAAAAATTTTAGAGATCATTTGATATTTACTTGTAATTTAATCGTTATTTTGCTGTAATTTTTAATTAATGGTAAGGGCTGTCTCGAGATTTATTTAATTTGGCCGGTTCCGATTCAATTTTAGTTTGATATTTTTATGGGTTTTACATATATATGTCTTGAGATTAGGTTTTAAATTTCATAATTTTTAGATGCCATTTGATATTTATTTACATTTTATTTATTATTCTGTTGTCGTTTTTTATTATTGATGAGGGCTGTCTCGGAAATTAATTATTTGAGCATATACATATGCGCAGAGAAATTTTATAATACTCGAGGAGTAACTAGTGATATGTATAGTAGTTACTCCTTGAGCCCACTTTGAGAAGAGAGATAGACACACAAAGAGAGAGAGAAAATAAAAAAATTTGAGCGGACGTTGAAATCTTCTTATCACTTTTGATGGGTATAGATGTAATTTCTTTCTTTTTTTATGTGTCTATCTCTCTCCTCAAAGTGGGCCTAAGGAGTAACTACTGTACATGCCACTAGTTACTCCTTGTGTATTATAAAATTTTCCCATATGCGCATGTTGTTGAGTTTTTGTAAAAATTTTGTTGAATTTAGATTGCATTTAATATTTATTTCGATATTTTTTTATGTCATGCTTATGATTATTTTACATATTAATTGTTGAATTGAGTTTTATTTTGCTATATGTGAGATCGTTAGGTTTCCTACATTCTAGGGATTGTCGACAATCTCATATCGAGTTTAATTTGTAATTAAAAACAAACACCTCTTCTTAGGGTAATTAAAAAATGTAAGTCAAGCTAACAAATCTCCGGTTTAAATAGGGATCGATATTAGTTTCGATCTACAATAAAAAATTAGCTAAGATAAATAAAATCAATTTAAACACCTTTAACTAATTATGTCGTTCCTTGACATGCTTGTCATGTTAGAACATAATTGAATTTGATGTTAAATTGATGTGACTCCCTACCTTGGGATTTGACGTAAATTTAATATGATGCAAAAAACAAAGATAAAAAATCAATTTAACTTAGAAGACAAATAAATTTGGAACTAGACTTAGAAAATAATTTGATAAATATAATTTTTAAGAGATATTTTTAAGATTAAATCAAACATGGTATCTTTTTTCGGAAAGAGTGCTTTTAGGTGATTGTTATCTTTTTAAAAATATAACTAACTCCTTACCTTAAAATCTCTCAATACAATATTGTTTCTTAGATTTTTAGTTATCTTTAATATTAGATGACGACTCCAAAACAATTTTCTTAATTTTTTTATATTATTATATTTTTTTCAAATTTTTTTGAAAGTTTCCTAAATGTTGAATAGCGATAATAATAATCGATCATGTTTCTTTTTTATTCTTTTCTACCATCCATTGAATTATTTCTTCAAACCAAAAATCCATCTTGCATTTCTTTTGATAAATCAAGGAAATTCATAAAACATCATTAGAAAAAAATAGTATCCTTGATGAAAGAGAAAACATAATACGAGAGGAACAAAAGCCTCTCAAGTAGAAGTCTTGGTGAAAAGACAAAAAGGGAAGCAACATGGCATGATAGCTTAATGGTGTACATCCAGTAGATGGAGCATCGGGATCGGTGAAATCCATAGAGTTATGTTACCTAAAGTTTTTTGTTGTTCGGTCATAAATGATCGATGCTAAAGATTGTATGAAAACATTAGAAACTAACTTTTTTTGGGTTCCTCATATACAACTCCTCTAATAAATTTCGAAAGCTCCTTTGAAAACCATTGAAAAATTTCGTAAACTCCTTTGAAAAATAATAATTATGTGTCAATCTATGATAGAATATGGACGATGGATGATGGAGATTGATTGTGTTTCTAGTACTCTTCTACACGAAGTTGTAAAAAAAAAAATCATTTGGTAGATTGAAGGATTCTTTAACGATCTAGTTAGTGATCGAGTTGAAGATATGCGAAGTGGCATGATTAAACTATTGAAAGGTGCTCTTGTGTATGTTTTACAAAGAAAATGAACAATGATACTTTCTCGATAAAGAGAGAATTGTATAGAGTTAGGAACTTGAAACCATTAGTGATTAGGGTTTTATATATGCGAGATTTTGATAAAGCTGCATGATGAAAAAAGTAGAATGATCTATTTTCTTGATGTAAACATTTTTTTATACCAAGTGAGGTGATTTATCCCTTCGATGTGCACTTATAGGACATCTAGTGACAACAATGATGATACAAAAGTTACTTATATGACGGATAGGATGGCCGTAACATATTCAATAAGCCTTTTCAAATCTCTTAAGCGATTGTGGTTGCCTATCCGTTACGTTATAAGTCACCGAATGAATTCTTGTGGTACATATGGATGCTTTTGGATGTAGAAAGACCCCATTTTTTATGCTTGGTGACGTATCCCTTTAAATAGACCTTGTTTTATGTTAAATTGCCCTCATTTGGTTCTACTATTCTTTCTTGATATATTAAGTATAAGGATAGCAATTTGCCCTGCCCCACTTCGTATTTATTTTAAACGGAGATAGGGCGAGGATGGAATTTACCCATCCCATCTCATTTGCCCCGCTTCATTTCTAAAATTACAATTATATCCTATATAAAATATGTGGCTATTGACTCTTAGGGTTTAATTTTTTTATGAACTATCATTTTTTTACTACGAGTTTGAAATTTGATAAGTAGAATGGAACAAGACGGAATGGAAACAAAAAATTAAACAAGGCATCGAGTGTCTCACAGGAATCTCGATCCTCGTTTGGAGTGAAAATGGTATAAGAAATATTACTCCATGTGAGGCACAGGATGGGGATGGGACAAAATTTTCAAGGACGAGGTGGGGGTGAGGATGACCATCCCCACCCCGCCTCGCTTCATTGCCATTCTTAATTAAGTATGGCCTTAGCATCGTTGCAAAACCCTAATCTCTCTTGTTTTGCACCCTGGTTTTGTATACTTAGCAAAACTCAAGTCGCTTTCTCAAATAATGGAAAGTCCCTTACCATAAAAAAAAAATGAAAAAAAAGTCTTTTTTTAAATATATGTCTCCATCCGATTCCAAACTACTGCAGTAAACACCTGACTAGCCATCGAAGATGAAAATGGGCTTTTTCCTAGGCCCAGATTTAGCGACAACTTTTCGTTAAAATTCAAATAAAGAAAGCGTACCGTTTCTTTTCGCATTCGATTTTTTTTTTTTAAAAAAAAAACGAGAACTAAAAACACAGAGAAACCCTCCAATTTCCCCGCCACCATGACCACCACTCCTAACTCCACCTCCACCTCCACCACAGCCACCACCACAACCCGCCCATTCACCACCACCACCACCAAACCTACCACCACTACAACCCCACCAAGACCACAATCTCCATTCCAAATCCACCACCAGCAAATATACCCAGTAATCAGACCTCAAACTCAAACCCCAAATTCAATCATTCCTTCCAATCATCATCAGCAACAACAAGGGGTTCTCTACCCAGTTGCCTCCTCTGGTCGCGGTTTCATTCCCAGACCTGTTCGCCCACAGCAAGATCAGACCCCAACAAACCAAGGCGTGTACCATCAACGCGGAGTTGGGGTTGCTTACAGACCTCACACTCCAACTACGATTGGTGGGTCTCCGAGTTCACGGTCTCATCCGAATCCTCAACAATTGGGGGATCTTCATCATCTTCATAATGTGCAGCAGCAGATGATGATGAGTAGGCAGCATCCTACTCACTTGCAACATCACAATTATGTTGGTCTTGGTCTCGGTGTGGGTTCTGTTTCTGCTCCTATTAAGGGAATTCCAGTCACCGGCCAACACAAGGTTTCTCTTTATAATGTTTTTTTTTTTTTGGGGGGGGGGGGGGGGGGGGGGCGCGGTTGGTGTGGAGGTTTAAAAAACGATTTGGGTTTTTTCTTACTTGGATTTTTATGCTCGGGGTTTGGAGTGTTATAAGTGTTTTTTTTTCTTTTCAATTAGTAGTTCTGTATTGGTGGTATTAGTTTGTTGGTAGTTTAAGTTTATTTTGGGACTTGAATTGGAATTTTTTGCACTAATGTGAACCTATAGGATTATTATAATTTATATAGAATATAGGCGTTCAAGAAGTGTTCAAATTTGAATGGAGGGATTTTCCCTTGTAATAATTGAGTCGGGATTTTGATGCAATTGAATGACCTTGTATCTTTTCGTTTATGTTTCTTGTCTGCCAGAAGTGTTCAATTTCAGTGAGAGATGTCATCATAATTGCTGCATTTTATGTTTAGCTGGAAACTTATTGATCGCCTTGAAATCATTCATTTGATTGTATTGTGTATCTTAAGTTTATTGCTTTTTTCATTTCTTTTAGGTTGCTCCATCTCCATCTCCAGTTTCTGATTCGAATGGCTATAAAAATTTGAGGTAATTCTTTTTGTGAAGTTAATTCTTCCTGCCATTTCATCCTTCACAGTACTTATGGGAAGCAGTAACATTTAAAGTTCTTTCTTGTGTTTATAGGGAACGAAGCAGAGATGATAATCTTGTGGTGGTTAGAGATCGAAAAGTAAGAAAACTTGAATTCTTTTTGTGGAACTTTGAGAATTTGTACAAGTACTTTACTGTATGCATACATTCAGATAAAAATTTTGCAAATATACACATACTTATATTGATTTGAGTGGTCTCTCTCATCTCAAAATAGTCTCCTTGATTCTTAGCTGAGCATGATTTGTATGTTTGTAAAGCAAGTAATGTATATATCAACATCATGGTCTTTGTTAGTTTTCTAAGTTCAGAAATGTCAAGTAGATTGCCTAAAGCAATAACTTAAAATTGCTGCAATTTTTAGATATTTAATAATGGTTCAGTATTCATAGAATGCACCTGAGGGTTAACCGGTGTAGTTTAGTGATTTAAATTTGACTTTGGGTGCATACTTAAGCAAGGGACAAAACGAGATATTTAACCCAAGCTGTAACTTGGTGGGATATAGGCTAAGATGATTGGTTACAAGTGGTTTAAGTTTTTCAGGCTGTTTTTAGTTCTGGCGAGGCTGTTTCTGGTTAGTAGGCTCAAGGGCAATTATGTAATTTTGCAGATTGCCGGAACTTCAGCAGCAGGGTCAGACTTGTACTTTTGGTACTTTTTTTTGGTTTCTGAAGCCCTAAACCTTGTCCCTAATCACTTCCAACAACAAACTGTCCCCTAGAACTTGTCCTGTGTCATTAGCTCTTTCAAGCTATAAGCACATGCAGAAGTATGATAGTGTAACCTAGTTTGTCTGCTTGAGTGAAGTTTGGGATATTATTATTAAAGAGGGGGAGGGAAGGGAGTAAGAACTAACTATTTTCCAGGTAAGTTATGGGTTTTTCCTTTTATGCTGAAATTTATTTGGTCCAAGGGCCATCATTTAGAGGTAGTGGATGCCAATATAATACGAGAGATGACATTAAAATGATTTCGGAATTGCCAAGGTAGCCTTTGGCTCTGTTTCCTTTCTCTAAATTTAAATTTATCTACTCGCCTCTTTCAAGTTCGAGATGCTCTAGGTGCGCAATCAATTCTGTATTTTATTTTGTATGTTTATGCCTCATACTATACAAAATATGAGGCCTTCTCTCCTCTTCAGGCTAAAAGAAGTTATATTAACTGATTATTATTATTATTATTTAATGAGACAGATTATTTTCCTTTTATGGAATTGCTGTGGAGATTCTGTAGATTATATTTGGTGTGTGATATGTTACTAAATTTGGGTCTTTGTTATGATATCATTTCGCTGTACTTACCAATGTGTTTTGTTTGTAGGTAAGAATATCAGATGGAACTTCTCTTTATGTTCTTTGCCGATCATGGTTGAGAAATGGATTCCCTGAGGAAAGCCAGGTTTGCATTGCACTTTTGCATCTTCTGAGAAAATGTCATTGTTGAAAGTATTTTTCCCTCACACTTTTAGCTAATTAATCCTTTTCTTACAACTTTCTAGTGTGCTGTTTTACTGTAAGTCAGTGACAAGAGAAACTCCTTTGCCACAGTAGGGGTGTCTTTTATTTCCATTCCTTTAGGTGTCTTTTACTTCTATGCCTGATCTTCACCATGAAGAAAACTTGAAAGTTGATTCTATCGATGATCAACATTATTCTCAAGGCCACATACATTCATTAGTTTTATATGCTAGAACCTCAAAATCAGTTTTATGTGGCATCAGCTAACAATACCGGGTTGTGTGGAAACCATTTAGAGGTGAATATAAGCTAGTTTTGCATTAGTTTTATCACTTTTTTCCTTTTCAATAGGAATGCGTTTCCTATATGTTTCTATTCTGTCACATACTGACATTTGTCAGGAATTGTGCTCCACAGCGGTACACATAAAATGGAAGACATTGGAATATGTCTACAATTGGATGAAAATTATGCACTTGACTTTCAAACATGATTTTCATCCTCGTTCATCCGTGTTTTTTCTTGCCATACAAACTGGGGGTGCGGACATAAATACTCAGAGATATTAATAAGCATGCGTACATCTAGAGATTATGTCACTTTGTGAACCATGTCAATCTTACAAAGCATAGACTGTGTGAGCTCTTACTGATGTACGACAAGGATTTAATAATGATAGAAATAGAAGAATCCCCAGTAGATTATAGATTAATTTCCTACAGAAGAGGGCTAATATGAAAGGAAACCCTATAGACAAGGGTTGGAAGAATGTAGAATGAAATAATATTCAACTATCCGTCTCAATTCATTACAATATGATGTTTATATATAGACACCAAGAAACCCCAGTAATCTAAACCAAACAGGAAACAAGAATCGTAATAAAATATTATCTTTTAATATAAATCCTATAGAACTTCCTAAATAATTATAAAACTCTAAAAAGTTTACTAATAAATACAGAAATTCCTTCATCCTATACAGCATCACTTGCTTTGCTTATTCTTCTCTTATTTCTTTAATGTATTGAGTAGGTTCAGTACGGAGATAGTGTAAAGCCTCTTCCAAGACCTCTTTTGCCAAAGAAGGAAGGTGAAGATGAAGTTGAAAAAGAGAAGGAGGTTGGCTTTTCTGATTACTCATTTCTACTGCATTGTTTAATTACTGATCCGTTGCCATTTTATATAGCCTTACTGGCTTCTGTGCTCTGTTATTAATATATTGTATCAAGTCGGTCCTAACAAAATATGTCATCTGTCTTCTTGATTTTCTGTTGGATTTAGTAATTTTATTTCCCTGAAATCTTGTATTTATTTTCTCCTCCCTTTACTCGTGTTTGCTTTCAGGATGAAGAACCTGTCGATCATTTGTCAACAGAAGAACTCCTAAAGAGACATGTTAAGCATGCTAAAAAGGTTCGAGCACGGTAAGTTTTTCTGAACTTATTGTTCCATCTTTGATCTTTGTCAAATTGCTGAATTCGTTTAATGTATGAGGCTGAGCATGCTGGTGCTCCGGGAAAAAAATAAATAAATAACTTCCAAACTAAATTGATAACTTGATGTGTTTAATGCATCAACCAAAATAAAGTTGGTTTGATCCTAGGATCATGAACCAATAAATTATGTCCACTGGTCCTAATTTGAGTTCTGTTTTCATCTTTCTTAGCAAGGTATATGAAAAGGGATGGAAGAAAAGAAAAACACTTCAACTTTCTCAAGGAAGGTTTAAGTAATATTTTAGTTGAATGCTCTCTAGGAATTTTTGATGTTCTTTGATTTAATTTGGTTAGATTCTCAGAAGTTTGTCAATACCATCCAATCAACTTTTATGGAATGTGATTTTCATAAAGAAGGATCCTTTTGTATATTAGTTCCTTCAAGATGGTTCGGGATTCCCTGATCTTCCTCAGGCAGATAGGTTTTTAGTGTGGTTGCCTAAGCATATTATGCAAATGATAACAAACGTCAACTGTTTTTGCTTTGTAGGTTAAGGGAAGGACGATTAAAACGAATTGCAAGGTACAAAAGTAGGCTTGCTCTTCTCCTTCCCCCACAGATGGAACAGTTTAGGAGTGATGCTGCTGAGGAGAGCTGACTGACCATGTTGCACGATGAGACATTGTTCATATTAATGCACTCTCCCATTGAATCTCAGTAAATACACTTCAGTTTTCTTGAGAGAAGGGATAATTGGAGCACTTTAGTGGCAGAGAAAGGTGGACCCAGATCCCAGCAAAGGGAATAGCGAAAGCTGGTTTCAGTTGGTACGTCCACGACGAGTTAACTATGTGATGATATAATCAATGTCAGGCTTAGGACAGAACAAAAAAATGATGCATTTTAATATCTCTTGGCCTGGAGTTAAAAAAAAAACCCAGGAATCAGAAATGCATTGCTTTCTCCCCTGATTGGTGATATTCATTGTTGCTTCTTTTCCACGCGATGGTTGTAAATTGTGTTTCGTAGTTAGTTTCATGAAAACAAACATATTCTTCCTGTGTGTTTGAATTTTTTGATGACCAATATTAGTATCTTTGTGTGTTTTAAGAAAAATGATAAATAAGAAGAAATTTCAAGAAGATTGCGAGCTATTTGGGACTTATGGTGAGCTCCATTAATCTAATGCTTTATGTATATTTGAACCTTTTTTTTTTTTTCCCTCTTTTCCTCAATGTTTAGCATCATTCAAATGTTTGTTTTTATTAATTCTGCTCCTGTATAACACGAGAGACAAAAAAATAAAAGAAAATACATGATTATTGTGTTCCCTCAGCACTTGCAGCCGCTGATGGACCAAGGGCCTCTACAACTCCTCCATCCCCTAGGGCCTAGAATTTTGGGCTGTCGCCTGCTAACATTAAAAGAAAACTTTTAAATTCCCATGAATTGATAGTCCTATATATATATATATATATATATGATAGTAATAATGTTTAATATCACCAAATTGAATAGATGCAGAAGCCTGTAGGTAGTGTGGATGTATTTTTTTGTAGAAAAGATTTATGTATATGTACGTATCAAGCTTTTTTTTTTTTTTTTTTCTCTTTTCCATTCGAGTATAGTTTCATTGCAAGCAGAGGTTGGGAAGACAAACTTCAACCGTACGTTAGTTTGTGTTTTTATAACGAGACCAAATCTGAAGACATTCGCACGAGATTATCTGCAGATTACTAGGAAAAATAAAAGGAGAAGAAAACAAATCTCATGGCCATAAGGTTAAGCACTCACGAATTGACTTATTGCACTCGTTTGCTGAACATAATTAGTTTTGACAAAATCAACATGATTACCATACCATGTGAGAAAGATAAATCAACACGATTCAACCTTTTATATGGATTCAAGTCAATAGCCAAAGTTTTGAATTTTGAGTATTATACGTTGTGTCAAACATGTTATACTTACATTACGAAAAATAAAACATTATTTCTCATTCTAGTCCAACCATGCATGATAATCAAATCTTATGGCCTTTTGAATAAATCTCCCTCGCTAGATTTACCTCAATCAAATTATATGTAATTGAAGGAAGTATTTTCTAATTTGAACAATGGTCCGTTGAATTTTCTTAGAACTTGGTCCTGTGGACTTATAGCTACCTAGCTAGTTCTATATATATATATATATATATATATATATTCGAACTCTCAAAGACTCAGTCATTAAAAAATAAATAAATAAAAATTTGGTGGCTTCCTAATTAGGTCATTGGGAAAATCTGAAGGTACCACTTTTTTCGTATTTACCAATTCTTTGGACATGCAATTGGATTCATTCATAATTTAACCAGCTTATTTATGTTCTAAAATTATTTCCAATGGATACTGTAGCATCCATTTGAGCTGATTTTAAAAATCCTGTAATTGTTGCGATTTGTTTTAACAGTTTCAAAAAATTCGATTAAAAAAAAAATTAGGTTTTTATATTTACAAATACTATTGTAAAACATTTTTGTATTTTTTGCTGAAAAGGCATTGAATTTATGGTTTTCTTTTATTATTTTTTGTCAAATGTACAATAGTTGTAAAAAAAAAAAAACCCACTTGCAAAAACATTCCCAGTTACACATTTAAAAAATCACTAAATATATGAAATAAATTAAACCATCAGAGTATAAACAATGGGAATCAAAGTTGGTAAAAAGTCACTAACCTCACCAATTGCTAGCCAATCCAAAAAGGTAGCACAAAACGCACCAAAAAATTCCTATGGGACACTGCCATTATCAATAAATAAATAAATTCGTTCAATATTTTCATTATCGATAATAATTATATAATTATCATAACAACAATCATCATACTTACAATGACTTCACCCAACCACCGCCATTAATTTATCTTCAATTATTTTTAAAAAATTGTTTTTGTCTGCAATGATCTAAGTTCTTACTTCATGTTAACTACTTTTATGATAATCACTCTTTTTGATTGAAAGGATTCAACGGATAAGAATGAAGGGTTTGAAAGGTTTTATAAGTCAAAAAGTATTTCTTTTTGCAAATTTCAACGCCTTGCATGTTTGGCCTTTAACATTCTACATATCATTGCCTTCTGCGTGTGCAACATGGCAGCGTTGCACCATCTCCCACTGGGCCCTTTCACACGAGCATTCCATTTTAATTTCTTCTTTAAATTATTCTGCTCTGATTTCTTTTCTTTATAAAACACCAAATGCATCCCAAAATCATATTAATTTTTAATAATTTTGTTTCAATTAAGTTTGAGCGCATTAAATGATTTACAAACAAATTAATTTTTATTCTTTTTAGTACAAAAAAAAAAAAAGAGATTTACAAACAAATTAAGTTTTTACATACTATAATTTCATACAATCTTGATGGGTCTAGTTGTATATTAATTAATGATATAATATAGATCTCATTAATGATAAATTATTGATCTTTTGTAAAAGAAGTAATTACATATTTTTTGTGTGAAAATTTTACATATATAAAAACTCAGTGATTGTGTAAATACGTACAGCGTTACTTTTTTAGCATTCTATATAGAATAGAAAAGAAATTTTGTAAACATGGACGAAGGAGCTTACTAAATTCCTTCAAAAACAAAAAAAAAAAACTTAAGTTTTGAAGCGATGGTCCATTCTGAATTTATATATTACTTATTTTGTATTTAACTATTTAAAACTTGAGGTTCATATTTTTTTGTTGGATTATTAAAATTACATTCCATCCAAAAATTAAAAATTTTATAATGAGTGGTATTTTTTAACTTTATATATTATTTTTTTTATCTTTAATTATTTAGGCTACGATATGTTCTTTAACAATAGCATGCTCCGCCCTGTATAAAAGAAAAACATAGAAATAAAAGAAAATTTATGCAACATGCCTTTCGCGTTTTTGCTCCATCTCTTTTTCGTTTTTGTTTTTTTTTTTTCCTCTTGTAATTAACGAATGCAAATTAGACTTGGAGAAATTGTTGGATTGAATACTTGCTACTAAATGGTAAGTTTTCAACGAGCTGGGTGCCTCTCTAATAATTGCACTCATGTCAGAATCAACTCATGCAACGTTTAACCCCATTCTAAGAGTTCTAAGAGCACACAAAAGGTTATTGTATCCAAAAAAAAAAAAAATGCAACAGAGCTTTCTTCTTATTTCTCACCTCTTCTATTTTGTTTTACTTTAACAAATGCAAATTGGATTTTAAAAAAAATAGTTGGATGTCAAATTGAATACTTGCTAATTGGCAAGTTTTAAACAAGGGATGCCTCTAATAATCATCCTCATGTCAATAACCTACTCATGCAACTTTTAATCCCATCCTAAAAGGAAGAGCACATAAAAGGATATTGGTTTCTCTTGGATAAGCATGCAAAGAATTTTATTTTATTTTATTTTTTTCAAAGAAAAAGATACCGATCGATGCACATTAAAAAAGATAAAGTGCAAAAGTGAAAAAGCTAATATTTAATCGTAATTTTGGAGGGTAGAAAAATTTAATTTGTTGACTCCCAGAATATATATATATATATATATATATATATATATAAGTACTAAAACTATCAACTTCTCCTAGTTGATTTATTTAAATGAATGAAAATGCATTGATGAAATCAACTTAGCAGAAAATCTGCTAGAAAGAAAGACTCCTGATCTGAAACAAGACTTAGTACAAACTTCAAAATTGTTTTTATATCATGAAGCAATATTACCGGAGAGCTTTGTTGGGTTGGGTCAGTCAACAAATGATCGTTCACATGGATTAGGGAATAAATCAGGTGGTCCTTGGGGAAAAGACCCTACCTACATAATGACCAGTCCGTTTTTGTTTCCCACATGATCCAAGGGCAGGTTCTCAGGGACCAGTCATTAGTGTTTTTTTCTTCCTTAATTACCTATCAATTAATAATACTAAACTTTGAAATGGCCGTTGAAATAAAGGAAGTGCCCCACTTATAGAACTTTACCTAGGAAATTACTCCCCTCCACCAATAAATAAGATAACCATATTCTACTCCAATAATACCTATCTAGCTAGGTCAATCACAATTTTATTTATTTATTTTTTTATTATTTTTTTGAGGAATGGTCAATGATCGCAATCTTTTGAAATGTCTTTAAAGTAACCACGCCCACTAAAAGTTAAATTAATTTGACATAAGAGTAGATATTATCTCTTCATTATATACACACACAATATGTATGTATATATTATTTATTTATTTATTTTGGAAGGATTGCTTATGAAATCATCAGTGAGATAGACACAAACCGTAGCACAAATCATTGGATGACATATAATAATTGAACTTGAACTTTCCATTTAGGTGACTAGGACATATCTTTTTTCACCCCATAATTCCCAATAAGGATTTGGAAGTGGGTCCATGGTCGGCTACTTAACACTATAATCAAACCATAATCTTTGCTTAACATTTGTTTTTGTTTTCTTGTGTTTTGTGAATTCCCGTGGTGTGTAGCGCCAGTGCATGTAGATATGTATGTCTTGCTTGCTTCCATGCATGATCATAATTAAATTCTTCTTTTGTTTATATTCGATGTTGCCCTAATCATAGGCATGGTGGCATATATGTTTATGGAGTATTTAATTCTTAAAGAGATGCCCTCTCCCATGCCTTTCCCTTCCAAGGCATGGGACGGGCAATTTGAACATTCCATTATACATGGGCATGAAACACATCCTTAAAAAAAAAAAAAAAAAAACAAAAAAGCAGAGCTTGAAAGCAAGGAAAGCGACCAAGGAGAAAAGGGAGGACATGGAAAGAAACGTCTAGGAACATAAACCAGGAGAAGAAGCAATTCGATTTCCCTTGTTATTACTATGCCCTGTTAATTAGTAGGAGCTATGAAATAGAAATCTATACCTTATTCAGTAAAACTAGGCTATCATTGAGCTGCTCTTTTGTTGGTACAGGGGAATCCTAGTCATTATTTTTGGACATTGCTTTGCAGTTAAGGAAGGAAGATGGACCTCGTCAGAAAGTCAAATAAAAAACAATTACTCCTTCATAATGATCAGATCAGATCATATCAACAATTTATAGGTGAGAATTAAATTATTGTTTATTATTTGAGAATAATATCATAAATTCATTCCTTACGTAAACAATCCACGTACCTGCAATATTGTATGCAGATCAATAATTGTGATATTTTATTATTTCTATTGAGTTTTTTCTCTATAAACTAAAAAGTGCACTAAGAATCAATAAATGAAAAGGGACAATATTTCATATTTATGGCATTTGCCGTTTCTTTTATTTCTTTCTTTTTCTTTCTGTAATTGCATGTGTAGTGTGCAATTTGCTCAATCTCAAATCCCAAATAAACTAATTAAATTAATCACATTCATTATACAAAATAAACTCAATTAAAAAAAAAAACTTTAGTTAATCTAGTTTTGACTGATGAGTAGATTAACTTGGAAGTTACCATCTAGTCAAAAAGAAAATATTTATTAAAAAATCTACTGATTAAAAAATTCAATTTCTTGATACATGACATATTCGTATAATAAAATCTTGTAATAATACAAAATAAGATCAACAGTTGTTCTTTAAGAAGCATCGCAGCATTTGGGTTCTGCTTTGTCATGAAACAAAATAAGAAGGAAAAGAAACAAGAACCCGATACGTACTACTGGTTTCTTCGCAAAAGAAATCAAACCAGCAGAAATAAATAGAACAGTCCCATCTCGTGATAAGTCACGTGCCTTCTAAGGTCTAGGCCAGTAGAAGGACGAAGCACTATTATTATAGTTAACTTCCCTTTCTTCTTGTGTTGTGCGTACTCATAATTGGGACTCTAAAAGGGTACCCTACTTTAAGAGACATGCTCATCAATAAGACATCCCTGTCCCATAACTTGGCCCTACATTTTTATTTATATTTTCAAAACTTTTTTGTTTTTTCAATCAACCCCCCACGCCTGATCCTCGAAATAATCAATGGGGTTTGAATCAAATCAGCAAAAGTAGCAGACATGAAATCTACCCTTTCTTAAAGCATGCCTTAATCCACGCCCATAAAACCTACCAAACATTAATTAGTCAATCAATTAAGCACACACCTAAAAATTCATCATATCATTGAAGAAATTAATTAACAAGGGAGGAATATATATTATGTGCTAATTAAACAAAATTTACTTTCGTATTAAATGAAGGAAAAATAGAGAAACATCCTTCCCCTAATTAACATATAATTCTTTTTTCTTGTATTTTTTTCCCTCTGATTCTGTCACAACAAAATCAAGAAAGAAAAGCAGAGAAAAATCCCAGTATAATTAGAATCCCTTGGGAAAAAAAAATTAAAAACAATCCAATCAAGAAACAAAATTAACCTATCAAGAAGAAGAGCCCTGTATATGTACACATGAAAACGAAGGCCTTCCGGTGGTCTCCCCTTTCATCATGCCGTGGGCTGGTGGGGGTGTGAGTGAGAAAATGGATAGAACCTTGGTCTAGTACTACTAAGGGATAACCCTGTGGTTTTAGATGTGGGGCCAGTGGTATTGTTTTGGTTATTGGTTGTGGTGGTGGTGGTGGTGGTTGCAGTTGTTGCTGTGGCAGAGGTGGTGTTGGTGGTAGTGGTGGTGGAAGTAGTGGCAACTCGCTCACAAGATGGGCACATGGTGAGAGTAGTGGCTGGGAGTTGCATGTAAAATGGATTTGAAGTCTTTAAAGCTCTTAATTCTTGAAGCTCCTTGTGTAATCTTCTGTTCTCTTCTGTTAATGTCTCACAACATCTCTTCAAGTACTCACAATCCACTTCAGTTTGCTTCAATTTAGTCCTGCAAAAAAAAAAAAAAAAAAAAATACATTAAACCTAATAATTACTTGATTAAAACCCAAGCCAAGATATAATTAATTATTTAATTACCTTGCTCTTCTATTTTGAAACCAGACTTCTACTTGGCGAGGACGAAGATTAAGCTCTTTGGCAAGCGCAAGCTTTTGTTTCTACACCATCATATTAATAAAAGAAAAAGATAAGCAAATTCTTATTAAGATGAAGAAACAAGCTATTAACAAAAAAGGGTAATCTTTAGACATGATTCTCTTACAGGAGTGAGAGTATTGTGCTCTTTGAAGCTTTCTTCAAGAAAAGCAGACTGATCTTTAGAGAGCCGGAGTTTCTTTCTAGCACTACCATTCTCATCTTCATCGCTGGCTCTTGAAGAAGCTCTCTCAGCCTGATCAGCTTCATTATGTGATCCACTTCTACCTTTATTACTGTAAATGCAAAAATCCATTTGGAAAGAAGAGGTTGCACTGTTTGGTGGTGAAGATGAAAGGGTAGCCCCATCTTGATCAGCCTGATCTTCATGAACAATAACAGCAGGGAATCTATTCACATCAAACCCTCTTGACATGTTACCTGAAGAGCCAACCTCATAATTAGTCCCTGCAAATAAAAAACGCACATCAAAAACTAATAAATGTAAAGAAAGCAAAAGGCTTGTGGATAGGATAGTCTGTTGAGATGTCTGGCTCAAAAACCAGATAATAAGATACAGAACAAAAGGTTTGGGGACCAAAAGGTTAAAAAGAAAAAAAAAGAGATTGGGAGAGGGGTTGGTTAAAAAACGGTTAACAGATGCTAACATAAACATAAAATCTCAAATATTCAAAGAAAGCAAAGGGGTTTTGCGGTACCATCTAAATTGAGGGTGCTGTGATGGTTACGAGGGACAGGAGTGTTAGGGAGAAGATCAAGCTGGATAGGTGAATCAGTACTAGTGTCCGCAGTCAAACTTGTTGTCTTGTTGGCTTCTATTGTTGCTGTTCTTGTGTTCGTATCGTCGGAGTTATGATCGATATGGTTGCCATGTTTCCGAGCATCTTCATCTTCATCTTCTTGCGGGGTGTGATTTGGACCAATAGATAAACCCATGCAAAACCCTAAATTGGCTTTGTTGGTGAGCTGTGTAGATTTCTCCATGAACCCAAATGGTTTTGAAGCAGTAGCTGCGTCTCCTAAGCTTAACCCAAGCTCCATTTCTCTTCTATTTTGCATGTACGAAGAAAAATAATTGTGAGAAAGAGGAAAGAGTTTTGGAGTGAAAGCACCAGAAAGAGTCTTTATAGAGAGGGAGAGAGATTCTGTCTTCCTACCCTCCTTATCTGTCTAATAATTTAAACGCAGACCCAACAGTCTTTTCATTAGTTTTTTCATTTTTTTATTTAGTACTTATATTATTATTTTTTCAGTTTTTTTTTTTTTTTCTTTTTCTGCCTTCCGAGAATTGAGAAACCACTTTGACCGACAATTCCCAGGTTGACAATTACTTGTGAAAAACCCTATTTTTATGGGAAAGATAGAGAGACAGTTTCTTTAGTATTTTGCGAGGACTAGCCCCACTCTCAGTCAGCTAGAGCGTGGAATCAAGTCCATTCACGTAAAAACTGTAAATAGTAATGCACTTTGATGATTTGTAAGTACATTAATTCCTTTTTGGGTTAACGGTGGCATATGTATTTCTATTTTTTTTCTTAAAACTATCTCTTTATTTATTATTTTAAATTTAATTTTTATCCTAATCACATTCGTTGGTTAACTTTTAAATTAATAGTATTAATTTATTTTTATTTTTTAATCTTATCTTTCTATTCTATTTTTTGGTCTTAATATTATTTTTTTACTAAATTTCAAAAATAAAAAAAAGATTAAGATATATTCAGTAATTCTCTTTAAAAATTAAAAAAAAAACTATAAAAAAAAGCTAGAAATATTTTTTATCCAAAATATTCTCTATGGGCTTAAATTTATCTTTATGATATTAAGAAAATTTTAAGTATAAAATAGAATATTTATATTATTTTAAAAAAATAGTATTGGACCTAACACTAGAAAATTTCTTAATTTGACTAAAATTTATAAAATCAAAACAAGTAAATTATAATAAAAATTTTTTTGAGGTATTTAAAATTATAGATATTATTTAATAGTTTAAAATTTTAACTAAAAAATTCTTTATATTTTTAAAAAATATATGATAAATATTTTATTTTATACTTCAAAATTGCTTACTATCATATAGATAAATTTAAACATATAAATTATATTTTGGATAAAAAAATATGTTTTAGCTTCACCTTTCTTTTTAGTTTTTCTTATTTTTAACCTTTAGAGAGAATGACAGGATATATCTTCATATTTTTTCTGTTCTTTTATTTTTTTAAATTTATTTATCTAAATTTAGTGTAAAAAAGATTAAAATAAAAAAAACAGAGTAGAGAAATGAGATTAAGACAAGAAAAAAGTTAACACCATTAGATTAAAAGGTAATAAAGATATGAGATTAAAACAAAAACTAAATATAAAAGAATGAATTGAAAATGAAAAAAAAATAGAAAAGCACAATAAAAAAAACTTCTACAACTATTAACTCATTCCTTTTCTGTTTCTATTCCTCCAAATGAAAAAGGATTGACGGATAGCTTACAAACATTAAACAATATGTCTTCGTATCTCGAATGTTTGGAAGAACTCCACTTATGTATTCGTTTATTGCCACTCATTCTACAAAAATTTTGCCATGGATGTGAAATTAATGTTTGCTTTGACCCATAAATTTGAAATTTCACACAAAAAATAAAGCGTTCGAGCAAGGCGTTATTTCCCCTTCCCCTTCGCAGTTGACTATTAAAATCATTCTCCCGCATCTCCAACGACATAGATCGTCTTTTAGTATGGTTTCGAAAGAATCTTCGCTATTGGGTTTCATCCGAGCATAACAAATTGGTTGATTTTTCATTTTAAGCAGCTAGTTTTTATGGTACTTCGCATGTGATTAATATTGTTTTTGTTTCTAAATAAGTAAAATGCTAATATGTAAGCGACTATTAAGCAATAACTTAGATTATATTTATTAAAATATTAGTTAGGGTCACATGTGCAAGTTGGTATTTGTTTTAATTCAATTAATAAAAATTGAATCAATATATCAACCTTATCAAAAAAAACTCTCTCTTCTTTCCTCTTTTTCAATTTAACTTCTTCTTAACTCAACCATAAAAGTTAACATGGCATCAAAGTTTTATATATTATAGGGTTCTTCTTAATCTTATTGATTTAGTATTTCTTCTCCTTCGATTCAACTTGTTCTTCTAATTCATCATTCACCGTATCACGATTGAAATAACTTAAATGCTTGACAATCCTCAATCGTCATATTACATTCATCATTCGGATCATCATGATTCTTTTGTAGTTACTCTTTTACTAACTACACGGAATTATGCTACTTGGAGCAGAGTCCTTCATACTAGCTCTTTTAATTCGCAATAAGCTAGATTTTGTCAATGGTTCAATTTCTCAATCTAAGGATGATTATTCTTGTCATAACTCAAAATTTTCCCTTTCCTATCTCTTTTTATCCTCTTTTATTTGTTTCACTTGTTTCTTATTTTATTTTGAAATTTAATAAAAAAAAATTGGAAAAAAGAATCAAAAATACCAAAATATATAAAAATACAAATAACCAAAACTACATGGCATGATTAATTAGGGGCATGATCGAATAAAATCATAACTAAAATTAAAACAATTAAGGATACAATTGAAACAATTGAAAACTCTATGATTGAAATTAAAAGATACAAGGGTCCAATTGAAAAAAATTAAAAGAAACGAGAGACAAATATTGCATGTCTAATGGGTATAATTGTGAACAATTAAAAGGCACGATAACTAAATTGAAACCGGAGAGCGAACGACATAACCAATTAAATTCGAACATGCGACTTGTCGCTCGCTTCAATCCGGAATCAATTCCTAAGTACGTTCATCGTCTTTTTTAGAGATAAAATTATTCAAATTTTTGCTCGTTTTGTGTTTCTTGGTTGGCTATTACACCTCATACCACTCACTTGCACTACCACATAACCACTACAGATCCATACATTACACTTATTGTCCTTCAATTTCAATCTGCATACATAAAGGGCCAAGAACATCATAAGCTTGTTCTTTGGCTATAGCAATTAATGGTCTTGATCGATTGAAGATCGATCCTAGGGTGGAAATCGGTTCAAATTTGGCTATAAATGAGGATAAATTAGTTCAAAATCGTTTTGTGTTTCTTGGTCGGCTATTACACCTCATACCACTCACTTGCACTACCACACAACCTCTACAATCCATACACTACACTCATTGTCCTTCAATTTCAATCTACATACATAAAGGGCCAAGAACATCATAAGCGTGTTCTTTGGCTATAGCAATTAATGGTCTTGATCGATTGAAGATCGATCCTAAGGTGAAAATCAGTTCAAATTTGGCTATAAATGAGGATAAATTAGTTCAAAACTTATTCTCCTCTAACTTTTTTGAGGAAATCTAATAAAATTACTAAATTCTTGTATATTTAGGAGTTTACAATCATTCTTTTTCTTCCGCACTTATTGTTTCTCACAGTAACCTAGTGAGATATAAATGAATTTACAAAGTTAAACTTCAAGTTGAATGGTAGCATTGAGAGATACAAGGCTAGTCTTATTGTAAAGGGTTATAGTTAGGTTGAAGGCTTTGATTACTAGGAAACATTTAGTCTTGTAGCTAAGCACACCATTGTTCTATTGTTTCTAGCCTTAGCTACAATTAAAGTTTGGTATCTCTCTTAATTTGACAATAATAATGCTTTTCTCCTTGATGATCTAGATGAAACAAGTATTTATGTATCCTCTTTTTAGTTACAAAGTTAAAAAAATGTATATGGATCATTCATAAAAATTAGCTCACATTACACAAATCCTTATATAGTTTAAAACATGCTTTTAGCAATGGAATGCAATGTTCACTTCGCTTTGGTTGAGTTTGGTTTTCAACAATCCAAGGCAAATTACTCATTATTTATAATAAGTACTAATTCACATATTTTTTTTACCTTGTTAATGTATATAGATAACATTTTGATTGCCAAACGTTCTTATTCGACATAGTTGCTCTAAAGTAATTTCTTGACATGAAATTTAAGCTGAAAGGCCTTAGTTCCCCGAAGAATTTTCCAGGAATTAAAGTAGCTAGATCATCGAGAAGGATTGTTGTCTCGTCAAAGAAAATATGTTATAGACTCGTTGAATGACTATGGTTTCACTAATTCTAAACATATTTAAACTTCTATGCATCCTAAATAGAAGCTACAACATGTTTCAAAAAATCTTCTTAGTGATCCTACCGAATACGGACAATTGGTAAGTAAAATTTTGTACCTAATTTTCAGCAAGCTCTGGTATTTACTATACAATGCATATTCTTACTTAGTTAATAGATAAACCAGCCTTGGTTCATTTACAAGTCGCACATAAGGTGCTTAGATATTTGAAGAATGCACTTGAACAAGGCTTACTATTTTCAATTAAGTCATATTTTCTAGTGATTGGATTGGATGTTTTGAGACTAAAAAATTAGTTTCGGGTTTTTATATTTTTTTAGGAACTTCCTTGGTTAGTCGGAAATCTAGAAACAAAGCTTGGTGACTTGCAGCAGCACAAAGGCAGAGTACGGAGTCATGGTAGTCTGTTACATGTGATTTTATGTGGCTTTTTTTCTTATTGTAGGATATGGACATTAAACATACAATCAATCTTGTTATTTTGTGATAATCAGTCCACTTTACACCTTTGTAGAAATCCAATTTTCATAAAAGAACTAAACATATTGAGGTTGATTGCTACTTCATTCGTGAGAAAATCATTTCGGTTTGGTCAAGCCTTATCACTTGCCCATTGACCAATAACTTGTAGATGTTTTCACTAAAGCTTTGTAGCCTATGATTTTTCATGATTTGATTAGCAAAATGAGTACGAACAACATTCATACTCATTTTGAGGAGGAGTATCAAAATATCAATTAGTTGTTAGTTGTTTTAATTGGTTAGTTTGTTAAGTTAACTAGAAAATTAGCTCTCTCTTTGAAGCTTGTATATATGTACTAATAGTTTAAGTTAGTCTTTAGTTAATAAAAGTTGAATCTATACATCAACTTTACCAAAAAAAATTTCTATTTGCTTTTCTCTCTCAATTCTCTTCTTCAATTCATCTTCTTCTCAACTCAGCCATGAAAGTTAACAATATTTATTTACTTTTTAAATTTTAATTAATAGCTAATATATCATTGAATTGTTTAATCTAATTCTTAAAATATATCTATTTATTTGTAAGCAAAAGGAAAACAAAACTAACTTTTTATTATATCATAAATTAATATTTAATTACCAATAATATTTTCTTAGAAATATTTACTATTATTTCAGGGAATTTATTAGCTTAAAATCATGATATATAGTTAAATAGTTTTGTTAGAAATAATATTCATCTTTTTTAGAAATAACAAATAATCTCAAATTATACCAAATTTAGTTTCTTCATTCTTGCAATTATAGGCTCTAACAGACAATCTTGCTAACTTTAAGATTTTAATTTTAATGCTAAACTTTATATTGTATTTAATTTCTTTTTCTCTTCTAATATGAATCCAAATTTATAACTAATAGACTTTTAGTATAGTAGTGGTGAGCTTTTTGCACTTACAAGAGATTACGATATTTAAATCTTCTTTGAGTACTTTGGAGTATTTGAGCTTAAAAAAATTATATTATGAGAAAAGGCTAGATTAGCTCCTTATTTTTGTAGTAATGGTCAATTCAGTTTGTCACGATAATACGATCATCTTTTCATATCTCATTAACTACTAACGTATCCTCTAACACTTAACAACTGAGTGAGTCTGCAAGGTTCCTATCTACATAGCAAAAAAAAAAAAAAAAACTAAATTTATATATTAAAATTTTATCACCAATTATTATAAGTAATTTGTTTTTCATTCCATTCAATTTATCGAGTGATTTTTTGACCTTTTCTCATGTTTTCACCATTTTATTTTCCTCAAATAATAATTCAATGATCAATGAATTAACTCTCTTTCACGTCAATGTCTTCATTATGATTGGTTCACTTCTTCCTTCATGCAAGCGAATTAATTAACCTCTTGCGTTTATCCATGTTTGATGATGAAAAAATCAATTAGGAATATTTTTATTAAAATTTAAAAAAGTTAAAAAATTTTAAGGGAATTTTTTTCCATTTTTGTAAATAAAAAATCAACTGATAAATATCTAAATAAAAATATAAAAAATAGGAATATTTTTAATAAGAATTTTTTTATCTTGTTGAAAATATTCCTAATTGAATTTTTTCTATTTTCCTTTATTTAATTTTATTGAAAATATTCCTAATTTATTTTTTATATTTCTATTTAGATATTTACACGACACGTGTCATTATCCTTTTTCTTTTTTATTTCTTTTATAAAAACCATTCCTATTTGATTTTTTTCTATTTTTATGTAGATAATTATTTGCAGGCTACGTGTCACCATCTAATTTATAAACAATCAGTCAACTAAGAGATGAGGTCATAAAAATGGGCGGAAAGATCAACACATCTTAAAGATTAATAAGTTCAAGAATAGATACGGATCAAAATTTGTTGGGATGATACCTGAAATATAACAGTACAAAGAGTATACAGTGATTTTTTTTTGCCTAATATTAATGCAGAGGGATTAATCTGATTATGTATTTGAGAATGACGAAATGCACTATTATAAATATGGAGGCTAACAATTGGCAAAGAAAGACTCTAGCATGTCATGATGCAGCGGCTGGCAAAAAATAAATAAAAAGGCATGACGCAGCACCGTTTGAATTTTCGGTTGTCTACCATCCATGTTTTACGTGCCATGACATATATTACACACCCGCATAGCCTCCTATTTGAAATATATAATAACGGTTTTACATGATAAAAATACGACACAAACATATATTGCTAGATATATCATATATCTTATTTTTATATATATATTCAAATATCATATCTCTTGTTTGTATTCGAGATAAATCAAGAATATTTAATTTGAAGACCTATGAGCTAGATATAACACACACATATATATATTATGAAAGACATAAAAAATGTGATCAAGTGCTGCCTTAATCAAAATCTAAGGATTTAAGATTTTTTTTTTTTTCAATCTTCATATATTGAGTAAAGCTGAGGACTCTGCATTGATCTAGATCAATAATAATAAGAGTTTTGTTATATCTAATATATTTTATTGGCTAAACTCATCATTATTTGCATTATATATTTTTGAATAAATATATCTATCTATTTATATATAATATTCAAAGTCTCTTATATGTTATTAAATTTTCAATTACATCCTATTTGTTTCTAAAAAAGTTTAAAACATTCAATCTGTCATTTTGATCAAATTTTTTTACTACAAAATTTTTTTAACCGAAATGTCATTTTCCAAAATGCAATAAATAAATAAATAACATTTTAAATTACATGACTTACATGTTCTATTTTTAAAGTCTTTATTTTTATATTTTTATATTTTAATCAAAAACATTTCGGTCAAGAATATCTCATTTGGCCAAAAAAATATTGATTGGAATAACATGTTGAGTATTTCAAATATTTTTAGAGACAAATAGGATGTAAGTAGAAACCTAAAAACATATGAAAGATTTTGAATATTATATAAAAACAGATGAGTATATATATCCTATATTTTCATTAATTCATAAAAAGAAAAAACTCTTCAATTGATCAATTCGGTCAAATGAATTCCATGTATTTTCACTTTTTAACCAAATAAATATAATTTTGAAAATTAAAAATTATCTCAAAAAATTGAGTAGTATTTTTCATTAAGTCAATGTCATCAACTTTTCTTTTATTTTTATTAGAATCATCACTCACCCCACCATCTCAACTTTCTTCATTTAGTAATATCTCTTTTGATTTCACAAATTATATTCAATTAGTTGAAAAAAATTAAAAGAACTCAATTAACCACAATAATAATAAATAAGTTTTTTTTTGAACGAATTGATCGGAACACATAGTGCAAATAAGAGTTTCATCTATTTCATTTATATGAATTTCTTATCCAAAAGTGATTATTGCAAATGTCCACCATCACCCATTTAATTTGATTAACATGATGACAAACATAACAGCATTTGCTTCTATCTTTTGCCACTATAATCACAAAAGTTATCATGTAGTGCAAAAATTAATATACATAATAATGAGTTTGTACGTATAGCATTGCAATGTCACTCCTTGTAATCTTGAGGATCGAATATTATTAGTTCAAGCGTCATAGACACATCTTAGCCTTCTTTTTTTTTTTTTTGGAGAAGAATTGAGAGTGACCTTAATAAGTATTCTTAAACACGTATCTTAGCTTAGTGATCAGCATTAAATCATGCTTTTATCACCAATGCATTCTCGTGAAACATGCATGATTGGTACCATCATAAATGACCTAACTTAATTGACTGGTTTCAATAAATCTCCTGCTTGGATACGACCTGTGAATTGTTCTAAAGATGAAATTTATGAGAGTTGTTTCTTCCTTTTTGCCATGCGATGCCAGATAGTAATGATTATATAATCTTTAAACAGTTATGTCTCCCTACTATCATTCTGTTCCCTTCAATCAACAATAATGGCAAAGAATTACCATGGTAATAATTACCCATTATTCTTGTTATTCTTATTCTTGTTTCTATGATCGTTGCATGATGTCCATGTCTCTATACCCCACATGAAATCATCTTGACCACATATAAGCATATTTTTTTCTCTCTTTTTTTTTCTGTGTTTACTCTAATTTTTTTCTTAAAGGTTAGATAGATTAATTATCAACTCGAGCAATAGATTTTAAACCTTTAAGGAATTTCTAGGTTTACCGTCAACGACTCTAGTATTTAATTAAGCAACATCACATGTGCAGAATTGAATGCAGCTGGCCTAAGATTTTGGAATTTCACTTTGCATGTGAAACACCCATACGAGTTCCGTATGAATCATAATCCTTGTTCTCGAGGATCACGCCTCCATGATAGAAATTGGTACCATCCATCCCTCGCAAACTTTGCGATTTAAAGTAATATTAGAGTGAGTGATGCTATTTGCAAACCTTATTATTCTACCCACGTAACATGTTATTTTAATGAATTTTCAAATTATCTTAAGTAGTATAATTTCTTAAAAGAAAAATTGCTTTTATTTTTATAATATCAAAATTTTATTAAATAACGACGAAAATTAATAACGAATATATAAAAAATAGATATCGACTGAATAACAACTCGTTAAAATCAATAACGGATTAATGACGATTTATTAACGATCGATACTAATCCGTCGTTAAATTTGATAAATTTTTCAATAGTTTTATATAACAACAGATTTTTAATAAATAACGATGAAAAAATCTATTGATATTTAACGAAATTCTAATAGTGTTATTTCAAAATGTTAATGAACATATCTTATAGTGAATAATACACCATAAGTGAGTAATATAGAGAAAAAACACTTGTCAAAAAAAAAAAAAAGCAAAAGTTTATTTCAACTTTTACGAGAAAATATGCTTCGTTACTCAATTTTTCAGTAAACTGTATGCAAAAAAAGCAAAAGTTTATTTCGACTTTTATGAGAAAATAATGCTAGAAATATTAATTAATGCTTCATTGCTCAATTTTTCAGTAATGATGTGGTAATTTGCGGTAGATGTACGTGTATTCATTAAAAATAACATAACTGTAGCAGGAGCTGTGGTACATGTACTTGTATTCAGTAAAAATAATATAACCGAAGCAGGAGCTGCGGTAGATGTGTCTGTATTCATTAAAAAATAATATAACTAAGGCAGGCGTTGAATTATAAAATTTTAAGTGAAAATATCATATCATATCATAAAAAACTACATTAACAATTTAAGAAAAGAGTCAAATTAAACAAATACGGGAGAGAAAGTATACTCTTTTGAGGGCGATCAAGGAAATTTATTTTATTTCTAACTTTTTGAATTTAAAACTTGAAATCAGCATCTAAAAAAATTTATTTAGTATCTATAAATATATATATCAGATCAATATAAAAAGTGCATTTTCAAGAATGTCCGAAACGGTCACAGATCTAAAAATTTTTGTCAGTGAGGTCAAAATTTTTACAATCCTAAGAATGACTATTTCACATTTCAATTTTATTCATTGAATTGGTTTTTTATTTCAATACATATAATGCTCAATTCACTTTTTTCCTAAGCATTTTTATAATTTATTACGAAAATGTCATATATGACTACGTAGTTGTTTAACAAATCATCTCTCATTCGAGAAGTAACACTCTAGTAGCTATTTTTTTAAGAATTTAATTTTAATAAAAAAAACTTAATCAAAAGCTCAATATAAGAATTGTGGATGACAATAGCTATATATCATATATGTATGTTAAAATTCAATAGAATTTCAAATGATTAAGATACCAGAGGTACGTATACTCTTTTTGTTAAAAAATTAGTCATTCTTGTAGTATGTATTATAGTTAATTTAGGACTATTTGATAAAATATCAATTAACGAATATTTATATACAATTAAAAAGAGTTAGATTTGTTCATCAATAATCAAAACTTATGATAAAAATAGCAAGAGTCTGACTTGATTTGCATGCTTGATGACATAGGAAAACAAGAAACCGTACGCTTGATAAAAGAAAAATCTTGAAAACCGAATACATGCACGATCGATGAGAGAAAAACTTAAATTGCGAACTCTTCCTTACGTTTTGATATAAAATCTTTGTAAGAATTAGGCTTCTAGAATTCAAAAGAGAAGTTGGCGGATTTTTAAAAAAGGAAACAAAGATAAGTTCTTATTTTTTTGATTATTTATTATTGTGGACACGTGTAAGTTTCATGTTCTAAAAGGCCTTTCACTTGAGAAGATGTGTTAGAGATTAGTATAAATTATATTCTAGGACCTCACCTATCAGCTTAAGCTTTTAGGTGAGATGATCCTTTAATATGGTATCGAGTTTGGTTGACCTTGAGGTCCCGAGTTCAAGTCTCACTATCTCCAATTTCTTAAATATTAAGCACAAGGCAATGTGGACATGTGCAAGTTTCATACCCCAAAGGACCTTTCACTTGAGGGGATATGTTAGAGATTAGTATAAATTATATTTTAGGACCTCACCTACCAGCTTAAGCTTTTAAGTGAGATGATCCTTTAATAATTATTATAAACTCCATTAACAAATTCTGTCTTTACTTTTTTCTCCATAGATTTAGTAAACAATAGATATTTACGAGGATAGTATTTTAATGAGGTCAAATAGATTTAATTATTAGGGTCAAATGGTCAATATCAAAACTATCGATTTTAATTTCTTACAAGTGAATTTTTTATTTTTTTTGGGAAGTGTTGTCAGTTGACCAAACTCATATATTAGTTGCGTTGCGTTACTTGAAAAGAGTTTGATTTCAATTGATGTGTAAATATATACATGAAATATATATATATATATATTAGCAACACAATTCTTTATCATTGATAATAGAACCGATTAATAATCAAGATGTATTTGGTATATTAGACAAGACGATATTAGACATAATACAGGAAGCCATATAATGTTTGATGTATATGTTAGACATGATAAGACAAACCGAACAGTATTTGATGTGCATTTCAGACATGCTAAGAATTAATTCTATTTAAAATTGTCCCAGAAGTAAAATTTTTGTTTCACCATGAGAGTGGAACAAACTTGACAAAACTATAATTTTTTAAATTTTCATATTATCCACTAACTATTTATCACTTATTTATTTTGATTGACTAAACTTTGACCAAGTTTATCTATATTTTATTAAAATAAATTTTTATATGTAAAGGCTTGATTCAAAAAACATTTCTAATTTAAGAACTAAATTGCTCATACTAAAAAATATTAGAGGACCAAAAATTTTTCTTAAGAACTGAAATATCATCAAAAAATAGGACTAAAATAAATTGTTAAAAAAATTCAAAGACCCAAAAAACTTTTGGAAAAACTTCATCAACCCTTGTCCTGTCTAGTGTACCAAACATAGAATGAGACCCATTCCAATTCATTCCAATCAACTCTCATTTATTATCCAATCTAATTTTATTTATTCCATCCTATCTAACATACAAAATACACCTTCAAGTATTAACCCAAAAGTTAATAGTTGCAGGAGTATCTCTATTCTTACTTTTATCTTTATTGTATTCTTTTATTTTTTTTTCACTCAAATTCATCCCTTTACATGTGGTTTTTATTTTAATTGTGTCTTTTTGTTAACTATTTAAACTAATAGTGTTAAATCACACTGATAATGCCAGAAGATTGCAACATGTTAACTTTGTATTTTTTTTTCTCTCAATCTCATTCCTCTATTTTTTTTTTATCGAATTTAAATAAATAAATTTTTAAAAAAGAAAAAATAAAAATATTTTTTTATCCAAAATATTTTTTATGGCTTTAAATTTATCTCTTTGATAGTAAAAAATTTTTGAATATAAAATAAAATATTTATGGCGTTTTATTTAAACATCAAGAGAGTTATATTTAAATTTTTAAATTTATTCATAATTTTATAATGCCTCATTTTTTTTCAAAATATATTCAGTAATTCTCTCAAAAAACTAAAAAAAAAGATAAAGACAAAAATATTTTTTATCCAAAATAACATTTATGGATTTAAATTTATCTTTATATAGAAAACAAAATTTGGGTATAAAATAAAAAATTTATAGTATTTTTTTAAATCTCAAAATAGTTTTATTTAAAATTTTAAACTTATATAATTTTATAATGCCTCAAAAGAGTCTATTTTAAACTTCTCTTTTTTTTTTTTTTACTTTTTTCAAATGTATCTAGTCATTCTCTCTTAAAAAAAAAAAAAAACACTAGAAAAAATTAGGTAAAGATAAAAAATTTTTTATCTAAAAAATCCTTTATTGGTTTGATTTTATATCTATAATAGTAAGTAAAGTTTGAGTATAAAATAAAATATTTATATTATTTTTAAAAAAATATTAAGAGATTTTTAGTTAAATGTTTAAACTTTTGAATAATATTTATAATTTTATAATACTTCAATAGAGTCTATTATAATTTATTTATTTTTATTTTACAAATTTCTTAATTTGACAAAAATGAGAATACAAATTTTTTTTAATTTTTTTTAGAGTATTCACTCAAAAGTAGTTGAAAGAGGGAATATTTCTTTATTTTTTTTCAGATTTATTTTTTAAAATTATTTATTTAAATTTGATAAAAGATAACAGTAAAAGCAATAAAATTAAGATTAAAAAAGTTGATACATATCACAATCGTGCAACGTTAATGATGCAATTTAATAAAGTTAGTTCAAAAAATTAATGAAAAAAATGATTAAGATAAGAGTTAACTTTAAAAAAAAAAAAAAAGGCTACGGCAGCCATTAACTTATTAACCCATTAACCCAACATTTGATGCCTTCTCTACTTTTGTTTAAGAAGAAATATCAAAAGCTCAACCCATTTTGGTAATATCTGAATAGTTTCTGATGCTCAAGCACTTACCACAGAATTAACCAAGGAGTGTTGTCTTTTCACCAGGTAGGGCAATTAGTAGATATATGCACAACAGTAGCCTATATATACAGTGATTGATTACACAGGACGCTGGAGGGATTAATTAAAGTGCACCAACTAACAAAACGTACACTTCGGCTCTAATACAAGGATGCATGGCCACGTGTCGTGAGCCAGTTGGGTGAGTGGGACACCCATTTAGAAGGATGAACGGTTAGTCCGTTTGGAAATTAACGGATTCAAGAAAAAGAAAGAGATGATTGGACTGATATATTTATGGAGCACATAAAAAAGGCAAGGGAAAGGGAGGTAGAGAGTGTTTTGAGCCTAATTGGCGGGGTCCCTTTTGGTTGGCTCTTGCATTTGTCAAATCCACTAGATTTTGAAGCTGCCATTTTGCACTTTTTGCATATCCAAGAAATCCTTTCGATTAAGGTCCCCTGCTACGAATGTAAGGTTCATTGTATATCAAACTCCTACGTAGTCAAAAGTCATTAAGCTGGAGTACTATTTTTTTTTTGGTTCTAAAAAAGTAAAAAAGTTTTAGCTTTCTCCTGTAATTACATCAAAAATATATTCGCACTAACTAAGTTTTAGTGTATAGTAATGTAAGCCAATCAAATAATAATCATTATAGTTATCTAAAATAAAATATCTTAATATTTTTAAAGATTTTTTTAATTCATCAAAAAGCTCAAATGGTTTTTTGAACTACATAATGACAATAGTTATTTTCTTTTCATAAAAAAAAAAAAACACAATTCCTAAGCTAAGACAATTTGTGCATATTTTTTAAGGTTTTTCTTTCTTGTTAAATGAGATGTTCTGTACATTATTATCTAAAATCAAATTTAAGTAAGAATACTAGGACAATAATTTTTTCTGAATATATTGATTTGTATAGGGATATAAGTGGAGCTGGGTGTAGGATAAGAGGGGCAATTGTCCTCCTTAATTTTTTCAAATATTTCATAATAATTTTTAATAGTTTAGGAGGTGTTTTTTTTAGAAAAAAGTAAGTTTTAGAAACTTTTTTTTTATATATATTTATTTCGTGTTTAAAAAAAAGTCAATAAAAAATTATAAAGTATTTTTTTAAAAACAATTTCAAGTTAAAAAAGAATAAAACATTTTTCTTCTTTCTCACAAGTTATTTTGCTCTTACGTTACTTATTTCTCTATTGATATATTTTAATAATTTTTTTTATCTTCTTTTTATTTAAAATATATCAAATTACTTTTTAATTATTTATTATCAATTATTATCAATTATTTAATTATTTTTTATTTCTACTAACATTTGATTTTTTGATTTATAAATACATTAAATATTCTTAAAAACCATTTTTACACCTTAAAATTATTTTTATAATAAATATTTTAATAATTTATTTTTATTTTTTTGTATCATTATCTCAAACACCACTTAAACTATACTTACATAATTGAAAATGATTATTGAAAGACCGCAATCATTTATAAAAATTTTAAAACTAATTAATTCATTAATAAATGTATTATTTTTCTAACATTATTCATTTGCAACTAAATTAATAATTTGTGATTAATTTTAATCGGTTGTAAAATTTTATTGGTAATTGTAATCAATAATTAGTTACAGATTACTCTAACATCAATCTGTTGAAACCAAATAAATAATTATTTACATATGATAATTAATAATTTGTAAAATTATTTTTTAAATTAAATTATTAGTTCAATTTTCAAAAAAAAAAAATCTTAATTGAGTTAATAAAATAACAATGTTAGGATTATTTAGAAATTTTTTTTACTAAATGTGAATATTGACTTGATTTTGTCTCAAGTAGTTTTGATGAATTTGTTTGATGATTAAAAATTTATATTTTATTTTTTGAATTTAAATCTTAGAGTCGATATTTATAAAAATTTATTAAAGTTTTCTAAATGCATATTATATTGTGAAATTGTGAATATGCATTGTTAAAGTTTCCTCAAAACTTGTTAGTGTAAAAATCATAGTTTGTTTTTGTATTTTAGTTTTCTTTATCAAATAAACTCGAAATATATTTTTCGAGTAGTTTTTTCATGTAATTGTCAAACGTCAAAAAATATATTTTTTTAGAAAACAACTTTCTGGAAAATAGTTTTTCTAGAATTGATTTTCTTATTAAAAATTGTTTTTTGTCAAATAAACATAGCCTTAAGGGTTTGGAATTTGCCTTGTTTTTTTTTTTCCCCTAAATATTTGCTCCTATAGTTTTTTAAACTTTTCCATTACTTCATGACATATATATTAAAGAATAACCATGATAGAAGTTTGGAACTATCAACCTCCTTGTATCCTCCAAGGCTCCAACTACCCAAGAAGTGTGAATAAATGTTCCTGACATGAGTATCCGAAGGTTGAATCAAATAGAAATTGTCAGTTCAGGTCCCTCCTGGTGTGGACGAGGCATGGAGGTGAGGCAGCATACAGTGGACGAAGAAGAGGTGGTCTTAACTTTCGGGAGTCTTAGCAATAATTGAAGTCAAGGAGGTCAGGCTGTGGGCAAAGGATAGAGACTTTAATGATAAGAATCGAAAGGTGGTGACCGGCATTACCCGGTAGAAGTGCGGTGGCATGGCAACATTTGTCATGCTTTTGGGATCATTGCAATTATTGAAACTCATGCAAATACTTTAATGATTTTATACCAACGTCGGAATCCTTTTTTCTTTTTTAAGAGCGGGAGAGAAGAAGCATGAATTCTGAAGATTGTATTTTGTAAAGAAAGGGACCCTCGAAAACACTTCAGTCACACGCCCTTTTTGGCAAGGATAAGGGCCTTTTTTTTTTTATAAGTCACATTTGCTTATTTCATAAATTCATTCGTATAAACTATGGATGCACCTAAATAAGCTTTAATTTATGTACAGTTTTTTTATTTTTACAAAATAGGTATAAAATCAGGTAGCTCTTCTGTTTTTTAATAACTCCCCTGATCTGAATTTATCAGCCAAATTGACTAGTATAAACGGAGGGCACATGTCAATTTGCAAGAACGTTTGCATTTAAAATATTGTGATTTTTCTCTAATGAGACAACCTAAGTACCTAACCACTCTCTTTACTGTAGCTCTGTCGGAAGAAAAAGGGTACAGAACAAAGAAAGGACCAACCAAATTCTACGAACCCTCGTGTCAGTTGTTACTACCCTTTTATTTTTTCTTAATTAACTATCTGTGCATTAGTTTATACAAAAAAGGATACTAGATTTCTTCTGGGTTTGGTTAGATATATATACTAAAATGCTGATATGGGGACACTTCAACATGTCCAAATTACCAATTTTATTGATGTCGAGTATAGGAGAGCATTCGATTTTTCGTTTTTTTTTTCTAATATTTTGATCTATTTTTTTAGTTTAATTGAACTTGCTCATAAAAAACCAAACCCAAATCGAATTTCTCTTTGGTTTTTTTATTTTTGATAAAAATTAATTTCTTTTTAAAAAAATTAAAACAAGATAACTAAGCTTAAAAAAAATTATGTTATGAATTATATGTGAAGTCTTTTCTCTAAGTCAAATGGTTTATATTAATCTATATAAAAAATAATAAATATTTATTTAAATAAAATTAAAACACAAAATCATATTACGTAATAAAACATCCAAATTTAAAAGTAAATTCATAAATTTACAAATTCATATTTAAAATATATAATAATAGAAACTCATTGATTGTTCAAACATATTTTAGACCAAACCATTAAAATTTAAATAACAATAAAAAGTTTAAATATGTTCTGTTAAAAAAATTAATTTTCTGTAACAATCAAATTAAAATTTTAAAAATCGAAACAAAAACAAATAACCAAAATTAACTTTGTTTTTTTTTTTAATTAAAAATCAAACCAAATTGATGTATTGATTCAGTTAATTAATTTTAACCTAATAAAGTTAATTCCTAATCACAGTTACATATATCATTTTTCATATTAATAAATATATTGACGTGATAAATAACATACTAATTTATTGCATGCTTCTATGTTTACCAAAATGAACTTGCTAATCGATATTGTAATATCACGAAACTATGACCCCGTAATCACGTCTGGGAAAGGACTTGAAAATAAAGATTTGACGTTCAAAAAACAAGAGGAAGTAAAGCTTAAAAAAAAAAAAACGATTTTAGTGGCGCGTGATTTTGCTACTCAGAAATGCTGGAAAGGAAGGAAATTGTAGTAAATTAACAGACCACAATTAAGGGATCAAAATCAGAGTATCTCTCCGAATCTTATAGAGGTTAACATACAATAAAGAGATCAACGCTTGAAATTGACAGAGTATGCCCTATCAGCTGTGTAGAAATAAAAGTCTTGAACAGACGAATGGTTTCAGTGTAAAATCTTTGAATGCAGAGATGTGATGTCAGGGCTTGCGATTTTAAAATAAAGGCAGACTTTTGAAAAGAACAGATTAGTAAGTAATTAATTAATTCACGAAGAGGAGATTGGTCCTTGGAGAGAAATGACCAGTGAACGAGGGCAGATAACAACAAGACTTAAATTCCTAGACTAGACACGGCACAAAACCCAGAAGGACCGGACCATTCATTCATGGCTTTAACCACTGTGACCTGCCGCTTTCTTTTAATTGCTGCTATTCTAATTAATGCACCAATCACATAGAGAGCCATAGACTATCAGGGTTAAATTTGAATTAAAATATGTGTTGTATGGTTAAGGAGTTAGATATTTCTAATTCAATGAATTGTCCTTCAAGAAAGAAATCCATGCGCATCGAAATCGGCATTAACTAAGTTCTCGATGGATTCAAGTCCTTCTCTCTTCTTCCCGAGTGTTCTTTTATTTTTATATACTTTTTTTAAAAAAATTCAAATCGATCATCTTTATTATCTCTTCTTAGTCGTTATTTTTAAACACTTGCTTCTACTATACCTTTTTGGAGATAAGGTTACAGAGTTGGCTATTATTATTATTATTATTATTTTTACTGTATTGTTTTTGTTTGTTGAATGATAATCCTAAATTTACATCAAGATATTTTGCATTGAAATACAAACTTGACGGTAGTTCAACTATGCATATTGAATGCTCGGTAAGATTTAGATGGTCGATGTATTTATTGTCTAAACTTTACATCAACTTCTGCTTAATTACAGTAAAGACTCAAAACGATAAAAGTTTTTTCTATGAAGAAAACTGTTATATTCAAACAACAAGTGGTAATTTTTTTTTTAAATTGATGGATATACATGTATGGTAATTATTTATAAAATGGTTATGGACAAGTATTCTAGTATGATGCAACTTGAGTCAAGTTTCGGAAAGTTACAATCACGTAAAAAAAATATTTAAATATATTTTTGTTTTATATTCGTTTATCCTCTTCTCAGGCTACAAGCTATTTATTTGGAAGATTGTTGTATTTTGATGAATTCATTATAATGATGTACTATTATCTCTTCATTGACAAATACTTTTATCAATTTTGACAAAAAAAACTAAAAATAAAGAAAAAGTAATCCATAACAAGTGGCATCGATATATCCAATCTCTTGACGAAAATGACATTAATGCCCTTACTAGTGATTTCTAAGATAAACTTGGGAGACAAATAATATGCAATGAGATATGTATAAAATAACATACACATACACGAAAAAAAATAAAAATATTATTAGATTTGATTATTAGAGAGATTGATAAAAACACATTTTCAATTCAGCCTTGCGTTTGGATTGTGTCGCACGACTTCGAAGGACCAAGGTCCCGTCAAAGACAAAAACAATAAGAATTCAAATTTGTTCCGTAAATTTTTTTTAAAAAAACATTACAGATTTTGTAGAAAATGAAATAATCTATAAGAATGAGTTTTTTTCTTTTTACTTGATTTACTGGGCAATATAAATGTTACTTATTTAAAATAGTTCGATGAAAAATTTATTCTCCAATATTGATGTTGAATATGATTAAAAAATATCCTTTCTCTCAAAAAAATAATAATAAATTTTTATATTTTGCATGCCGACTGTCAATGAGTCAACAAAAGTATTTATTTCAGGTATCAATTTTTTTAGTTTTTGTTTATAATTCAAAAGAAATTATATTTGTTGTCGAAGTCTAAACTTTATTGCTCTCCCACGTAAGGTGTTCACGTGACCAGTCGAGTTTCCTATAAAAAGTCAAGGAAAAGGACAGAGGTAAGCGTGGGGTCAATCGCGTGAACGAAGCATGTGATGATTTGGACTTTGACTCTTTCGTTCATAGGCTCCTTTTGGAAAGTTTAGTTCCGGTTTTTGATATGGTTGGAAATATTTAACTTTAACTTTGATCTTTTATCTTTTTTTTATCTTTTTATGTTTACATTTTTTTAATTCTCAAGTTATTTTAGAATTTAGATTTAAAGACTAAATTAATTCTTCACTGTTTTGTCACATCCACAACACAACTATATTTATATTCTACTAATTAATGGCAATAGAAGTTTATGGAGACGAATGTCCTTCACTTAATTCTATGCACTTTTTCAAAGACCCTTCTGATCTTCATATTTATATATTTTTTCTACCCAAAGCAATTTTCAATTATTTCTATCAACTTTTATTGGAGATGAACCGTCAAATGAGGTCTACATGCTTTTTTTTCATTATCAATTTCCATTAAATTGAAATGCATCTATTATATATATATATATATATATATATTAGAGAAAGTTAATCAAATAATACTAATAAAAAAATAAAACTATATATATAGCAAAATCCAATAAACACTGTAAAATTACGCTGAACTATCTAAAAGTTTATAAATTTGACACAAACTTTTTTACATATAAATAAATATTTCAAAAATATGTTCTTGTATCTAAAATACCTCAAATATTTTTAAAATCACTCCTCTTAACAACAAGGATATTTTGGATACAAAATGGAGATTTTTGTAATGTTTTTATTTTTTTTGGATTGTCAGCAAGTTTTATATTTTTAAGTGATAATTATAATTTCATCAAATCTTAAGAAGTTATATATATATATATATATATATACACGCGCGCGCTCAATTTAAGTCCATATCGAACGATATTCCATTTGTCTTTATATGCACACAGATCAATTATTTTTATTTGTCTCCATACTCCTTCTTCACGAGGGACAAATGCCCCCTCCATACTCGTCTTCGGTGGAGTAAAAGGAGGCGAACCTCCATGGAGATATGTATAATTGTCATCTATATTTTGCAACAAATAATAAGGTGTTTGTGAGTTTTTTTTTCAATTCATACAACCAGTCCTCCAAGATTTAGGATTGATTGTATTAGATCAATATTAAAATGTCAATCCATTGATTTTCTAGAAGAAGCCACAAAAAAATCCGAAGAAACTAACATACAGCTCCCTTTAATTAACAAAGGATTGATAAATATTTTTCTGGATTCTACTTGGTTATTTTTTTCTGAGTGATTATGATTATTTTTAAATTAACCTTTTATTTCTATTTTTTGGAAATTAAACCCATCTCCATAGCAATTAAAAAAAGAGAGGGTATAATCACAATATATCTACAATTTTTTTAAATCAAATTATCTAATATTGACATGTATAGATATATATTATTGATGAGTGCACGTATGATGATATATACTTATAGACTAGTAGGCACATAAATATAAATAGATGATGATAGAAGAGAAAGATGAGATGGGCCAATGAGAGCAGTGCAAGTCATTTTTATTACTAAGAATTGTCATGTTTATGGGACCCAATTATAGAGGGTTAGGTTTGCGGCAAAAGTAGAGGGGACAGGTGCACCATTTGAAGGAGACAACTCCCAACATTTCCAATCATTAGTAATGCATCACCTATCGTATCTCTCACTCTCTCCCTAAAACTAATTCTATATTCATTGTTCAAAACACCTTCTTTTTTTCATTTTAGAGAAAAAAGACACTGCTTTTTTTGTTTTTTGTTTTTTTTTTTTTTTTAAAATCGCTGTTAATGAATTAATAATGTTCATTGAAAGGAAGGAAGGAAGGCTGTTCTTGAGGATTGAACGATCAAATACACCCTATTTGTTTTGACCTCATGATTTGTGGTCCGCGAAGTAAGCAATTATTACATGGGTGATTGATCGAAAGCATGAGATATATATATTGAATGTAACATGGTGATGGTATCGGAACATCCCCTTTCCTTCTCTTTATACCTTGTTTGGCTACGATTATTGTCCTTTTCAAGAATTTATTGTCATTTCTCTTCCGCCACCACCGCCTTTCTTTTTTAGTTCTCACTTTTTCCCGGTCCTTATTTGTTCTCTCTTTCCTCTTTCTCTACCAACAATATTCAGAAAATATAAAAAAATGAAATACATAAAAATCATTAGCCTGTATTACGTGTACAACTCAGTAACAATTCTTTAAAACCTCTTCTTTTATTTATTATTATTATTATTTTGGTAGTATATGTTTTTCAGCTACGTGATAATTTGATGAAAACGGGAGAGAAATGTTTGGCTATCAATTTGAACACTGACAGTGGGGGCCTTCCTGTCCCCGTATGGGGCCAACGGAGATGGTAGAAAGGGCTCTAAGAAAGTCTAAAAAAATAGTTAAGGCATCTTATAATGTCAGCATCAGCTGTTACAACGCGTGCATATGGCACATAGTCCATCCTTATCATTGCATCCCTTTCTCTCACATTCATTATTTTTTCTAATCACCTTTTTGCTTTGTTAATTGTATTACTAATTACATAAAGAAAAGAAAAAGAATTGGACAACCATGTTCTTAATTCCTGGGCGCAAACCTAAACCTATTATTGTCTTTTTATACTAAATTCAAATATCGTATTTGATAAAAAATTTGAACCGTAAGTTAGCCGGTATTAACATTCTTTTTTCTCGTAGCTTGACGTAGACATTAGCATAAAATACGATAGTTCCATAAGAGGGCGGTTCATTGTCTATATTGAAATCACGTAATCAACTTTTTGATGGACAAACAAAGACCAATCATTGATTTCTCAACTATTTTTTCGACTCATTAAAGTTTTGAAGAGTCAAGAAGGAAAAAAGCTTCAACATGTGACATTTTTTCACTAAAGTTTGTACAAAGTGACGTGGAAGAAAAAAGGTCTAAACATGTGATGTGCATCTCCAAATCTAAATTCTATACAATCATTGATTTCTCCACGAAAATTTCCACTCCATTAAATTTCAAATATCAGCAAGTATCACTTAAAAAAAAAAAAAAATTCCATTTTCTTTGCTTTGTCAAAGCTCGTGAAGTGGCACAAAAACCATGACATTATATCATAGAAATGTTCAATTTTGCCAACTCTACTTTTTCAACATTATGATCACCACTTTTAACAGTTTGTCCATCGGGCACCAACTGTTTTTCCATAACATTGGCGATGTCCCCTTGGTAACGTAAAATATTTTCTCTGTTTTGAAAAAAATAGTATATTTTAACTTTTTATACAATTTTAAAAGTTATTAATTATTTTGTTCTATCAGTATTTTTATTCATATATTTTTTAAAATGACTTTTTTGTTAAAATTATTAATTTTATCAAATTTAAGCATGTATTACATGAAATCAATGTTAATTTAAAGAGAGAACCTAGCCAAAATTAATGTAGTAAATCAAACAAAAAATTATTAAATTAATTAACAATCAAGTTTAAAATAATTGTAGAAAAATAACATACTAATAAAAATATTTCTCTTAAAATTTCTATATGCAATAAAATCCTTACAAAAATAATTATTTTTCATATAACAAAAGATTTCTTTTTATAAATTTTATATTAAAGATATTTGTATGTATAAAAAATAAAAAATATTTTTCTTTCTTAGTGAAGAACAAGAATGTTGATTTTCTTTATCAATTAGAAGTATTTTAAAAAATATATTACTTAAAATTTTGACTAAACAAATATTTTAAAACACATATAAAAAAAGAGACAATCTCTTTGACAGAAAGAGTATTGTATTAACCTTTCTAGTATAGAAAAAAAATTTAAATAATCACACTAGTTTTATAAATTAATTAATTAAACATTCGACCAGTGTTGACAAATTAATATTATATTGTTCCAAAAAGTATTTTCTTATATCATCAAATTTCAATATTTTCTAGTTATTTATATTTTTTTTACTTCTTTAAAAATTTGGAAAAAAATTAAAATGGAAAAAAAATAAAAAATCACAAATAGACTTAAAAACATATCGACTAATTAATTATACTTTAAAATTTTAAAAACTATTAAATTTTTTTTTTGGCAAAACCAAAAAAACTAATTTCTCAATTAACTTTCATTTGGTATAATTGTGACTTTTAGATTTCAATTTCACCGTAGTACTACGTATAATTATGTGGTTTTGATTGTAAAAATGTTTGGTAATACATGTTATTAAGTCTTTTAGTTAAATAAAACTCAAAATCCCAAAAACTTCAATTTATGGCTTCTCAGTTCCAAAAAAGCTTTCAAAAACATCTTGGAAAGTTTTACCAAACACTATTTTGACTGGTTTTTGAAGAAAAATTCCAGAAGCCAAAAGCAGTCGAAAACCATAATTTCACAAATGGGCTCTAAGAAATAAGGATCATAACATCACCAATGACACTTGACGAGACTAAACTGGATAGGATAAGATGGAACAAACTACCTCACAAGAGGAGGTAGACTGGATAGGAGAAGACGGAGAAAAGCTATCCCACAACCAGAAGTAGGATACAGATTTGGACAAAAGATGGGACAAAAACTACCTAATATGTCCACCCAAACTCCAATACAAGTAAATTACCTTACCCAGTTTGGTAGAAAGTATCAAATGGGCAGGAGGTTAGATGTATGTATTGAAACAGACGCTAATGTAGTGCGGTTCCATCATAACCATTGTCTAGTACAGCCATCATTAAGAATTTAGGAGATCCTTTATTTATTTATTTTTATCATTGCCATTTTTTTATTATTATTATTATTATGGTCATCCCTATCATTATCATCTCATCATCACCATCATCACCATCATGATTATCCTCGTCATCAGATACCCTCTTACTGGGTCCACATATGCAAGTTGCTAGACACTCAGACATGGTTTATAAGAAAACTACTACCTCAATATGAAGGGCTTCCCCAACTGGCAAAGCTTGTAGGGTTTATTGTCCCGTTGTTTTCTTCGCTTGTATAGATATGAAAGAAGTTTAAGTTCAACATTAATTTTTTTCTGCATAAAAATCATTATATTTTACATATGTAAGCAAGCCGATCGTTTGATGAATTATTGAGCGCAGAAGAAAATGCAACAAGATCATTGGAGGCAAAATCATATATGCTATGAAGCCTAGGGTTTCATGAAATGATGAGTACTTGATTGCCAAGCCACAATCAGGCAGTTCAATATGACGTGTATCACATCATGACTTATATAGTTCATTGTAGACAAACCTACAGCAAGAATTAAACATCTTAAATTAATGATACAAGCTATTAGGACCTCATGAAATGATAATCATGCAAATTTTACAATCAGTGATAGTCTGATGTCAGGCAGACAAGAAGAGTTGAAATGGTAATGAGCGATAAATGCTAATAAAATTGTCTGATCTGACCTATGAGGTAATAGCAATGATATGCAATGGAAGAACAACCCATCAATTAGATACAATCAATCTCAAGCATGAATCAAAATCATAATTGCTCTAGAAACCAAGGAGGCCCAAAACCAAACCCTAGCTAATGGTTAGAACAAGGCATCATAACAGGGCAGCTATGTTGGGCTTAGTGGACTCATACAATGCAACACACATGTTCCATTGCTTATCCTGTTCAAACACTTTGACAGGAAATTCATGATAACAGATGGAAAAACCAATCAAAGGATGAATTTTCAATGCCTTCCAAAAGAAATCCTATAACACATTACTGTACTTGTCAAGACATTGAGGAGAGATGCACCTTGACTTAATTGTTAATACATACCTAATAATACCTATCCAATATAATCCACCCGAGAAGTGGCATGCGTTTAGGTAATGTGAACCCACTCTGTCATCAATAATGAATCACTAGTCTATAGGGATTTCCCTTTACCACTTTACTAGACCACATACTAAGACACTCAACTCAATACAATCAAATGTGATTATAGAAGTTCTCTTTTTCAAGAGATTATCAGTGAATTGACAATTAGAGGTGGGATTTAAACTCAAGCACGCATCCCACTTGCTTTGCAGGGCCAAAGGAAATACGAATAAAATCTTCAATCACATTCTAAGCTAGTATGCCAATCCTTCTCCCATAGTTGCATGCACAAATAAGATGAACACTTGATGGATGGGAGGCATTCTTACCTTTCTGGCCCCAACACAAATGACATAACGGTCTGTGGGCTGTTGTTGCTTCAAGCTGGTTCCCAGTAACTTGAACCTGCAGCAATTTAAATCATTCGCATTCGCCAAGCGACAACCAGAAAAAGAGGCCATAAACGTCATTTTTAGTCACTTGTTAAACCAGTTCTAAGAAATGTTACAGAGCTTCTGCATTTTTAGTCACTTGTTAAACCAGTTCTAAGAAATGCTATAGAGCTTCTGCATTTTTAGTCGCTTGTTAGGGTATTAGAATTTGCTAACATCTTGAGCATCAATAAAAATCCAAACAAACCTCATCATTAACCAAAGTGAAACATACATGCGAAACAAGGAGTAGAATAATAGCTTTTTTAATATTGCATAATATGTTTTTCTAGCAACAAAGAAATTTCTCTGGTTCTCTTTGTAAAATTACCCCAATGAATAGAAATTAAAGTATGGATGACGCTTTAATTACAATGAATCAAGGAATAAAAGTCACTAAATTTGCTTGCCAGATAAAATTCCTGTGCTTCAGCAGAGAGAGCATTTTGAGATGTATAAAGATAATAAATATCGTGAAAACCAGCATTTTAACCTTGAATGCTACTTGAGACATGATGAACTCGAGGAACTCTTTTTATAACGATTTGTGTTCAACATGAATGGACACATTAAAGAAATATCCTTAAAGTTTCATGAAATTACATCACTGCCATTGTGAGTGTTCGTGATTTATTTGTGCTTTGTTTTTCATGCTATATAGCACTGCTCGATGAACTTACAGACAGATTCTCATTTTCATGCCATGTGTTTGTTCCAAGAGAACAAAGAGCTAGAAAAAAATCAATTAAAATCTCAAAATTATTTTCTTTGAAAATTGAGTTCTCTAATTAAATTCTTTGATAGTCTGCCAATTTTTTTTCTAACTTTGAGAAAGCTGTTTTCTGTGAAATTAGGACTTGTGATGTATGGTGTTTGCAGATGGGATAAAACAATCATATTTAGCTTGTGGTAGAAGAGTTTAAACTGGTCACTATTGATCATTATTTAACTGGTTTATGGGCTGACAAACTTTTGTTTCCACTCTGTTTTGCCGTGTTCTTAAACCCTCAAACTGTAGCTCAGTTTTATGAGCCTGCCAGATTGTGTGCCTACGCTTCATCTAAAGTAACTCTTTGTACTCTTATTCTATTCGCAGACAATAAACTTTTATTAAGAAACAAAAACACATAAAGTAGCAAGTCTAGATTAACATTTTTGTAAGAGTTCAGGAGAAGGCAACAATAAAGTAAAAAAAATAATATTCTCAGTACAATTTTGCATTTTTGGACATTTCATGTATAACTAGAAAAGTTTCTGCAGATAATGAACATGTCCTGACATTACTCAAAAGCAACGAGGCACATTGCCATTTTTAAGCATTTCTAAAAACTATAATCAATCTTGAACTCCAAACCCCTGGATGCCAAAGGCGTTTCAGAGTAATCGTGGAAAATTCTCCTTTTTTTTTTTTTTTTTTTGACATATGAAGTTTGGTTACCAGCTACCAGACATAACGTTTCACATGCATGAACAAATAATCAATGATAAATCATCTTAACAGCATTGTCACTTGCCAGACCATAATATCATGGGCTTTAGTCACTACCAATAACATAAGCGTTTCATCTCAACAAGCATGAAATGAGTAATCAATGATAAATCATCACAAAAATATTGTTGGAAGCCAGACCTCAACATCACGGGCCTTAGGCAACCGATATAATAACATAATTGTTCTGGTTCTGCCTTGGCAAACTCTTATTTCCCTGCCACAAGCATATTAGGTCAGGAGCTACCACTTGTTGGAATCTAGGATACTGTTAGTTTCGATAGTGACAGTTCTAGATAAATCTTAGCTAGAAACTAAGTACTTGTAGCTCTGGCTTAGAGTACTGCGTCGGTGAATATGTGGTTACTAAGTGATGATCCAGCTGTGCAAGTAATTGGCGTACTATGTCGGTGTCAAAAGGCTTAAAAATAGCCACCCAAGTTTTACTTGTAACTAAGCCAAAAACACTAAGAAATTCTACTGTGTAAACTTGTACGCTACCTTCTCTTCAATAAAACTTCTTCCTTTCAATAACCCACGGCCTATAATAATTATTTCAACTATAAAACTAGTCTAACCATTTCTATTTTCAATTCATATCAACACCTAAAATATCCAAATATGCACACTTAATGTATAATACTATATTTAATATATGACATAATGTATTCCGCTAACCGAAGTAACTACATACATGTAAGCATCTATCCTTAGCCTAAAAAATAAAGATGATGCAAAACCATGGAACGACAAGACACAAGAAGTAATGCTATGTACGTAGAACCGATGGAATCGATATGAAATAGGGACGGCAAAAGTCCTCAATCCATATCGCTGGCAGCATGAACCAGGCACACAAGATATCTGACTGAAACCCATGTGATAGGCGATGCCACCTTTTGAAGCATCGACTAGAGGTCTTCATATAGACTGTTTCGTGTTTAGAAAATTTCACTACAACATGGTATGGCAATGCATAGGAAAAAAAGAAGCCTGTGGGTAGCAAACTGAGCAACATAAAGGTAAGTGTGAAATTCTTCCGGAGATGCAATGGAATTGGATATATACACAAATACAAAAGAATATGGAAGCAAAAAACTCAAAAACGAAATCAACAACCAAATAAAATTATTGAATATTTATATTTTAATATAACTAAAGGCAAACAGAAACAAGCAAATTTTTCACTAAGAGTTCATACACTTACCAGGTCAAATAGCTGCTCTCTGCCTTATAGAAAACCTGGCCATGCAATCAAGGATGGCGCTGCATGCTTCAGTAAACGACATCTCTAGATTCTTCTACGTAAGAAACCACAAAATTTGCCAATGAAACAACCAAATAATTAATATATAACGGCAAGAGCATAAACACTTGTAGTGTATTTTGCGTTAATTGCAATTGGCACTCAATGCATGGATTGGCAAACACGGTCTTCATAAACACAAAGATGTATTAGTTTCCAACAACAAAACTAACTCACAGTACTCAGACAAGGAACATGTTATCAATTTAACCATTATTTCTGTGGCTACATCAGTTCAACCTTCTCCTTCTACGTTCACGGTTTTGTCCATTGCCCGCATCTGAAACTCTGGGAACTTCAGTCCTTCTCCTGGAAGATGGTGAATTTGTTTCTGCACTAATGTCCACTTCTGAAAGCCTAGAAACTAAATTTCTTCTCCTAGAAGATGACAAAATGGGAGCAGTAGAATTGCTTTCTGTAGCAGTATTGATTCTATGGCTTTCCAATTGTGAAACAGTGGCAGCATCATCAGGCCTGGAAGATGAAGCAGAATGAGGCAACGTAGAATCAGCATCAGCAACAGTATCCAGGTTCTGGCTGTCGGGTTGAATAACAGCAGCAATGCTCGAAAATGAATCTCTATCAGCAGGACGTGAGGACCGTTGATGGTTTCTTCTCCCACGATGACTGTGCAAAAATGCCTCAAGGTCCTCAACTAATCTTTCTGCTGATTCCATTGCAGAATTCATTGCAGAATTCACTGCAGATGAAAAGGAGGACAATGAAGCAGCTCCTTCAAACAATAACCTTGAAACTTGAACAGAATGGTGGTGCTGGCTGCCCTCTGCCCCAGGGGAAGGCAATACCTCAGAAGTACTGGCTTGATTTGCCAAGAAACTGATTCTCTCAGAATCAAGAGGAGCACCATCAAGATCCTCTGACTGAGGTATCTCCCCCATTGCAATGAGAACATTACCAAAATGCCGCATCCTTTCTTCAATTGAAGAAGAAAATACACCGCGATTAATGAGTTGCTGCCTCACACTCTCAACTCTTTGTGCAGAAGGCCTAGGAGGAACCTTCAAGCCAGGCTCCTTCAACTTGAGCTTGTTGTTATCATTACTGTTTCCATTGCCATAAATTGGAATAATGCTTGTGTCTGTAACCTCTCCCATACATACAGGGCATTCCTTCACATTTGTATAAATATATGACAACGGATAGAAGCATGGCCAACAAAACAGGTGTCCACAAGAAGTTAATATAGGATCTTGTGCCATATCAAGGCATATGTTACAGTCAAATACACTCCTCCTATCACTTCTGGCCTTCTTACCATTCCCATTCCTGCCTAATGCTTTAGCTATCAAATAGGTACTATTCCTTTTGCCAAATTTATTCATCTCCTCTCTCCTTTCTTCGGTAGCAACACTAGCCTCCCCAATAAGCATTCCACGTTCACTGCGAATGTTAGTGGCAGCAGGTTCCACAGAAACACTCACTGTTTGAGGGGTAATGTGACTTCGTATCCATCTCTGTCGTTGTCTAGCCCTGAAAGTAACTGCTTCAAGCTGCCTGATACGTTCTTCTATGCGACCATGGGTGGTTTCTAATTCATTCTGTATAGATGTGAGTCCCAGCAGCGAATCATTGGAAGAGTATAAAGGTTCTTGGTTCAAATCAAGATCCATTATTTGTAGTCAAAATCTTACACCACTCTGATTCAAAACTCTTTCTACAACAATACAAACCAAAATCTCGACAAAAATTCTATACCATTCCCTGTAAAGAACAATAAAAACAGTCTTTAACTAAGCCAGGTAAAAACTCCAATTTGCATGTCTGTTTGAATTACTTGTATAGCAAAAAAAAAAAAAAAAAAAAAAAATTGTACCCAGAAACTGAAATTTCCCATTTTCTTAAACTCACTAAACAACCATGCTAATTGAATATAATTGTCACTCTCTAAATCAGCAAATTAAAGGGGGAAATTTCCAAACTTTACTAAGTTGAACCCTCCCTGCATACCTAAAAAAAAACTCAGAAGCTTAAAAAAAAAAAAAAGAATTAACAAACATCCAAACCCATTAAACTCCAACCCAAAAGAAAAACATCCAAAATCAGCTCAATAAAAAAATTTGCCTTTGTCATTATTTTGTCACTAAAAAAAAAAAAGAAAAAAGAAAATATATACCCGGAAATTGAAAGTCTCTCGTTTTCAATCTTTAATCTCCTTTAGAGATTAAAAAAAAAAATAGACACCAATTAACCTTTTTGAGGCACATAATTGTAAACAAAAACCTAATCAATCAGAATAATGATAATAACAATCAAGAACTGAAAAGAAAGAGATAATGAAAAGAATAAGGACCTGTATGAAGCGGAGGATCAGCGCAAGTCTTCTTCATGACAAAAAATTATTAAAAAATCATTTTGAAGCAATGAATAGAAGTTAAACCAAGCAGTGGTGATCATTTATGGGATAGATTGACAGGTGTTTGTTTTCTTGCATGTTCAAGGCCAGCTGGGTATAAAATGCTGTCGTTTTGTGCCCTGACCTGGATGTCTAAGGCTCTGTGATTGGAGTTGTGGCCTCAAACCACCAGGTCAAGGAGTTTTGGCTCTGTTGGATTGGATTCTTCTGGGAGCCAATAATACTTTTGGTAGTTCTACTTTGTTAAAATTTCCATTTTAGTTTACATACTTTTAATTTTTTTTCTCTCTTTCGGTCTTCAGTCCTGAAAAAATCAATCACATACCCGTAGTATTGGTCCTTGACAACTTGAATTATTCAGTAGCATCCGTTACTCAATCATCTATAGTGGCTCCTAGGAGATTGGTTTACATGGATTTATTCAGTCTTAGATTTTATTATTGATTTCTTAGAAAAATAGCATATTTATATCGTAAAACAATTTTTTTTTTTTTATCTTTTCCTTCTATTCATACTTTCATTACAAGTCTCTCAATAAACATGATCGATCCTTTCTTGCAAATGTTAATGATCGTGATACAAGGTTCATTTCAAGTGATGAGTTCAAAATTAAAAATGATAACACAAAGATAATTTGTGCTATAAGCAAATACTATACACGTAATTATTTGATTTTATGATACTATTTTGATGTATTCTAATTATTATTGAAAGTATAATTTTTTTTTTGTTAGATGATAATTAAAGAGATATTTTCAAATAAGTTTATACGTCAATCTAACTATTTTCCTTTTCGAAATGATCTTACTTACAAAAGAGAACACACACCTCTTTTTAACCAACAAGCCAGTTGCTTGAGAATATTGAAGGGATATAAAAATTGGGATTAAATTATTGTTGACAATCAAACTAATTTGTTATGCAATCCATTGTTCAACAGAAATATAACTTTACAAAAACAATAAATTGTTTTAAATAACAATTTTTTTTTCATAGAGATGAGCATCAATTAATTACAACCAATCCTATTCATGAGGATCGATGGTGTTCTGATCTTGATGGCTAGAAGCTCCTCTAAACCAAATATTATTCCCAAGTACTGATAATTAATGAACAACATAATACAACGATTAAAATTAAAAAGGTACTTTTTTTTTCTTCCCAAGGATCCTGCATTTCTCCTTTAGCACTTTTTTTGCGGGGGAAAATCCTTGAACCCGGCCCAGATTATTAAAACATAGAGAAACAGCCTTTGTCAAATTACAAGGAAAAATCTGAATACGTGGCTAAAAACTGAAACCACCTCCAAGAACTTGTCCAATGTCAACTCCACTTCCTGAAGATGACAAATCTCCACCACCACCATTACCTCCATCAGAAGTGCCTCCAAGATTAATTACCAGCACCACCGCCATTTGTGCCACCACCAAGACCGTTAATGCCAAAACCTAGTAATGCTGGCAACAACAGAGAGCCTATCTGTTTGAATGAAGAATTCCTCTGTACACTCGATCTCATACTTGATCCAAAAACATTTGAGGGAGCAGGACTTGTCCCATAATTGTTTGGTACATAGTTTTGCATAACTGGACCTGTTCCTAATGGAGTTCCAACAACCTGAGACTGAGGAATACCCGATGCTGGTGATGCTGCTTGGTAGTACTGCGTTTGAACTTGAGCTGGAGTTGGCTGTGCTGTAGCACAATCCAAATGAGCATCAAATCCACAGAGGTTGCACCTATAGAGCCATTGCTTGCAACCAAAGTTATGGCACACGTCACAAGAAAAGCTTTGGTTCGGATAAGGAACAGAAAATGTAAGATTCAGCTGATGATGATGAGATTGGTGGGTGAACAGCAAGGGCATTGTTGCACATGTGGTGTGGATATCAATGTTGCAATTTCCACAATGGTAAGAGAAGCCGTTGCCTTGCTTTCCACATGCATAACAGTTGAATAAGCCTCCAGGGTATATTGGGGTTGATAGGAGAGAAAGAACATGGTATTGATGAAATGGATGAGTGATCTGTTGAGGCATTTGAGAACAAGAGACATGGAGAAAGTAGTTGCATTGTGTGCAAGTGTAAATCCATCCAGATACTTTGAGCTTGCAACCTGAACATGAAGCTGGGCAAAGGGTCTGTTGGGGTTGGTAATTGGAGAGCTGTAATGGATGTGGATGACTGAAATGCTGGATTGCAGGTTCAGGTTGGGCTGGTAGCTTCCCCATAAATCTCAGATTTTCTTTCTCTTCTCTCAACTAGTTTTTGGTATGAAATCGAATTCTGCTGCTCAAATAAACATGACATTGACATATGGTGCTATCGTTGACAATACTAGCAAGCAGAGTCAATTACTGACGCGGTAGAGTTACCAGGTCAAGTTGCTTTTCTTTAACAATTGTTTTGACAACTATAAGAGCAATAAGGGAATTGAAAACTAAAATTCTGAGCTGGATGGAACAAAGTAGCTGGTTGGTGGATCAAAACAAAGGACTATATATCCTAGGCGCGGCCAAACAGTTGGTGGCAAGCCAAGACCAGTTCGTATGGAACCTAAGAAGTAGTTTGCAGGAAATGTTTACTAACCAGCAAGGCAAACGGTTAGGGAAACTGCTGAACCTACCATTTAGTATGAGACTAATAATGAGGTTAAGTGCTGATATTAAAAGAGAGGAGTTAGTTCCTCAATTGATTAATTGTCAGCATAATGAAATTGATTCTCCAATCCTGCATTCTTGATACTTTCTTAGCACCACCTAGACCAGAAACAACTCTTAGTACATAGAAACCGAGAAGCCTTTATCTAACATTAGGTATGGTTTGAATTTATAGAAAAGGCAGGGTGCAAAGTGTTAATATACTCTAATGGAAAAACAATATCTGCGAAGTCTACTCAGGAAATGATCATAAGCATTTCCGTGGTTACTGGCAGGATGCTATGATTCTATATTCTGCAACCAATATAACTATTTGAAGAGGTTCAACATTTTGGCAATCCCACTTTGGAATAACGAACCCCCAAAGAAGCAACCCGGTTCTCAAAGTCAGTTCTTACCAAATTTTGTTCATTGTTCAGATAGTCGCATCTGTTGAACAAATAAGGTTCTATTACACAACCAATCTGCAATATTCCACAATCTTCCTATCAAATTGCATATTATCATTTACCTTGACTTTTCCTTGGAGTAAGAAAGTAATAAATATATATATATAGAATGCGGAGATACATATCCTGATACCTCTATATAAAATTCTAGTTGACTTTTCCTTAGATGCAAACTAGCTGACATACCTTGCCTGTTAATATTATCAAGAGTTCTATATAAATTCTAGCCGTAAAACCATAAGTAAATACAGTAGCTAAGATGGAGGAGATCCAAAAGTTAAGAGCAGAATTACCGACATTTGGCTAAAGGCCCTTGTTGGAACCCCTTGTGTGTGATGAAGCTGAAGAAATCAGCTGCAAAGCTTGTGGAGACCCATATCATAGAACAACTTCATGGTTGCCTTTCATGTATCAGAACTGACATAAATATTCGAAATAGACAAGAAAATTAAAAATCTATATTATCGACAAAAAGCCAAAAAGTTATTCATAGTGTATAACAAGAATTTTTGAGAATTATCAAATGATTGATTCACAAACGGATTAGGATATAAAAAGCTAATGTTGTGATTTATAAAAACAAACTTAATCAACCAAGTAAAATAAATATAATTAGTGAGGCAAGAAAGGAGGAGCAGATAATGCTAGTAAGGTGTAAGTCAAATGACTATGGGTGAGTTCAAATAAATGATGTCTAGTGTGTGAGTGAGAGAGATTTGAGAGATAGAGTTTAAAGGCTTTTTGCTAGAATAAAAAGGTTTAAATTCTCTCACAATTAAGCAAGGTTGGAATGATAATAAATTAAAGATGACTCTTGATCGTCAAGATCGTGCTACGTCATTCATGTTTGGATGATCATATTTGTCTTGAAGAAAGTTGGATCTTTTTGGGATAAACTATTTCAATGTATTAGTAAAGATTAAAAAAAATAACAATTAGATTTTCTTTTAGCTTATCCTACTTTGAGCACACCAAAACAATCTCTCTAATGTTTTTCCAAAGGTGTAACTCAAATGACTATATATGGGTTAGTCCAAATAAATGATGTTTAGCGTGTGAGTGAGAGAGATTTGAGAGATAGAGTTTAAAGGCTTTTTGCTAAAATAAAAAAGTTCAAATTCTCTCACAATAATGCGAGGTTGGTATGATAATAAATTAAAGATGACTCTTGACCGTAAAAATCGTGCTACGTCATTCATGTTTGGATGATCATATTTGACTTGAAGAAAGTTGGATTTTTTAGGATAAACTATTACAATTTACTAGTAAAGATTAAAAAAAAACAACAATTAGATTTTCTTTTAACTGATCATACTTTGAGCCCATCAAAACAATCTCTCTAATGTTTTCTAAAGATAATGCATGAACACTAGTCTCGTCGAATACCATGTTTATCCTTATGCAATCCAAAGACTTATGTTGCACAATGCTTATCCTTAGTTCAATTTATTTGCTATGTAATTTAGACCCATACTAAAATTAAAGAAAATAACATGAATTAACACATAATAAAATTAATAAAATTACTTAATTAATTTTAAGAAAAAATCGAGCATATACACCTATTCTCATGCTTTTAAAAGACTAGTTACAAGAGACTTGTCACATGGACAACTTATACTACTTTTCGTATCACATCTAGTAGATCTTCTCCATTTATTCTTATAGCACTCTTATTGTTTTCCAAAATACTTGAAATTTCAATTTTTCTAACTCAACTTTCCAATCTTTTTTTTTCTCTTCTCGTATAGATCAGAACCTAAAGTTTTTATACTTCATGGATTACCTCTTGTATAATTCTTCATCCTTTCCAACAACTTCATACGCCCTTCGTTGGGATGATTATGTTCGAAGTCATGAAATTTAAGAGTTGAAGAGCTTCATTGTAGTCTACTTCTTTAATCTCGTATATTCTAGAACATCAATTTTTGAGCATTTTCTCTATTATACTTGTTACAATGACTCTACTTCCCAGACTAAGCAAACCATCATTTTCAAGTATTACTGCTAATTGTAAGAAGTACTCACATCATCAAGAATGACAAGAACTTTTTATAATATAAATAGGTGTATTCAGTGTGTCTATATTCACATATATTGGTCTTATGGCTCATATTTTTTGGAGAAATGACCAAGTAAATAAAATAAAGTAATGATAAAAAAATCCTTGTTTGCAAATGATTCCTTTTCTACCAAAGATTTTGACCATTATTAAGAGGTGAGAATATGTATAGTTTTAGTGTGCAAAATTCAAGGGTTGAGATGCGTTCTTTAAATGTGATAGTAGATATACGAAGGGCTCGGAGATTGGATTTTAGGTATAAAAATCACAATCGTGTTTTTGTACTAATTCTCTTTCAATAAATAATTACCATTAAGTTTGTAGAGTAGACATAATTTTGTTGAATTATGTTAAATTTTATGTGTTCATCTTTGTTATTTTTTGATTTCACTAAGTTGGATTGTTTGTGATATTGTGTTGAATATCGGATCCTTAATTTCTCAATAAACTAGTATCGAATTTTGGTTTTAAAAGATTTAGCTTTTGATTGCAAATTTTATTTGCATAAGATAAGTTTTAATTTACCATAAAACAATTTAATAAAAATTATAATTTTTTTGACTAGTGTGAGGGAGAAGATCTTGCTAAAGAAGAGAATGGATCGATGATATTTTTTAGAGTTAACAAGTAAAGTTGACTCAAGACAACTATACATAGACATTGGTCATGTTTTTCAAATCAAGTGGAGTTCAAGATTATTTGTTGATTCGGGGCATGTATAGTTAAAAAATTTTAAGATTAATGGTTATTTTTATTTTTCTGTTTGGGGTATTTAGAAGCAAGTGGAGCCAACAAATTTCAGGATATCAAAAATATTTGCTAAGGTGGAGATTATTGAGCTTATGACTCATATTCGTAATATTAATGACTAAGTAAATGGAATAGTAATGACCAAGGATTCCTTGTCCAAAAAGAATCCTTTGTCCACTAAGAATTTTGGCCAATAATAAATATGGGAGAAGATATAAAGTTTTAGAATGCAAAAGATAAAGGTTGAAAGGTTTTCTTTGAGTGTGAGAGAGTTTATTTGTGAAGTAAGTAGAATTTTATCAAACTACATTAAATCTTGTATGTCTATTTTTTATATCAAATTGGATTGTTTATGATGAAGGTATGTTGAATTTCGAGTCTTTAATTTTCCAACAACAAAGAAGTTTGTCTTGTATTCCAGCTTGCGAATGAATTGCTGATTCCTTCTTATCATTTAAAGAAAGAATCGACCTTAAAATTGAGTAGGGATTCAATTAAACCCAATTTCAGCAATAGTAGTCTTGTCGATACCTAGATCTCTCTATTAGAGAGTAATATAAAATATTTCTTTGGGTTTCACTTAATAATTTAAATTTTTACATTATGATGTCAAATAATCACGAGTTCAAATCTCATCATCCTTATTTTTTATTCTAATTAAACACAAGATAATAACTTGCATATGTAAATTTTAATTTCAAATAACTTTTACTTGAAAGAATGTATTATAAAATAATATAAGCACCATTCTTAAAGCTTTATCTAATAAATTAAAATTTTAAATCGAGACGGTATTTCCTAAATTCCAAGAGTGCACACATTTAGACGTCCAATGCATAGTAAAGCCTCAACCTCTTGGATACGTGGATTAATTCCCACCAAGCCTTCAAGATTGCTTGAGGATATGAGATTTAGTTTCTTCAAATGGGCATCAACAATTTCCACTATTAGTTTGGACTCAGGCCTGAATATATATATACACACACACTGACCGCAAGCTAAATAACTTAATAATTTATGTGTGAATCCCAACCTTTTAGATTTGCTATTTCTTTCAGAGCATGTGTCCGTTGGTTTACTCGGTTCAAATCGAATTGTTGTCTATGCTTAGCAAGTGCATCGCAAAACTCCCTTTCTGCTCTTGAACATTGGTTGGATAAACTTGATAAAAAAACTAGCATAACCATCTGTTTTAATGTTTCCTTGCATTCAAAAATCTTCACTAGCTCATCCAAACACCAGGGAGAACATGCATGCATAGTTTTGGAGAATATGTCAATTGAAATAATTGATTCAATTATCTTCAATAGGCTGGCGAAATCGGTTCTCCACCACTAAGTTTATCATCGATGAAGGTTTCAATTTGATTACGATGCATAGTGTCGTAGAGATGACTGCTAAATCCATAGCGAGTGTCTGCACCTCTAAAACTGAGGAAGATATGGTACTTCCACTGAGATGTAATGGTGGAAGAAGAAGAAGAAGCTGCCATTGTTGTTGCTTTTTATGTGAAACTAGAGAGGAAAATGGTGTTTTTTTTGGGTACTCAGTGCTTGCTTTTATAAACATCAACCAAGACTAGAGAAGAAGAGAAACATAACATGCTTTTGCTTTGATTCTTTTTTCCCAGTTGAACAAGAATAAGAATAAATTTGCTCAAGTATAAAGCTGTGGGGTGAAAACCACTAGCAAAAAGGAAAAATAAATAAAGTTTGAACTCACTCTATGAAAGGTGAAACAAGAAGTGTCTTTTCTAAGAAAATGCCAGCATATTCGATAAAACCATCAACAATCAGAAGAATCAAATAAAAAGAAAGGTGTCCACCACTACTAAGAGTTCACAGATTAGGTTCACGGAAGTTCTTTTCGTGTGTGTGTGTGAAATCCAACTTACAGAGTGAGAGAATAAAGGCAATCAGGTCTTTATGAGCTAGATTTTTACGAAAACAGTATCAAAAGCAGTAGAGCAAAATTAACTGATGAAACTGTGAAATTCACAACTAAACATATGGAAATCGAAGTTAAAGCTTACAGTTAATTAACCTCAGTTCAATCTGTAAAATAGTTTCGAATGTAGGATGCATGCATAGGAATTTGGCTTAACCTCCAACAAGGACAAGGCGACAAGTAGTCCAAAATAGAGCAAAAAAGAAGGAGATACACGAGAATACATCCGTCAACCTTTACATCATCCGATCAACTCAGCACCTAAAAGAATCAACATCAACAAAATACCATCACGAATCAACTCACATGGCCAATAAACCTGAATAAAATAGAACTAATTGAAATCCACAGCACAAGAGAGTAGACATCAACAGAGCTGAAGCTGAACCTGAACCTGAGAGTAAAGCACTTGCCACTCTCACAAATGCAATTAATCTTATGACACCAAAGAGCTAAGACTGTTGGGAATTTTTGATATGTTACATCTGGCAGCCCAAATGATAACGGAGGATGGCTTTATATATATACATATATCAGATATGCGAGGTCCATTTGGGATGCTAAGTTCTCCAGAATTCTATCAAGACTTCAAGGGACAATGAACACATTGGAGAATGTAGAGCTTATTTGAAAGAAATTCAGGGCTTGAAGAAGAAAGTTTTTGCTTCATCGAACAGAGTAGAAGAAGAGAGTTCAGTCAACTTAGGAAGTTATTCTCATGAAACACCAATTCACTCAATGACACTAAAGAGCCAAGGCTATTGAAAATTTATGACATAACCCAGCTCCTTAGATTAAATATTGCAGAATGCAACAGTGCAAATGATTGATGGAGGAAGGCATTTTTTCTGAATGGAATTATTAGTTATTGAAAGGTCCTTCTGAGAACCTATTCAGATTTCGACACCCAACAAGATCAAGAGTTACAAGAGATTCAAGATCATAGATACTATTTGGGAGACTTGCTAACTTCGAGCAATAACTAAGATCAAGCTCTGCGAGACATTTCAACTGGCCGATGCTGCTTGGTAGACTCTCAAGACTTGGGCAGCCTCTCAAATTTAGTACAGTAAGTTGAGGGAGACGTCCAATTTATAAGGGCAAAACACACAGATTTTCATTATAGCTAAGGTCTAGTTTTGTAAGCTTGGTGCAACACTCAATAAAGGAGGGAACCACAATCAAACTACTACACCAACTCAGGTCTAAAATCGGAAGGTTTGGAACTTTAGAGAAATCTAGCATTCCAAGTACATTACAGCCGCTCAGATTTAGAACCACAAGATTGGGAACTTTGGACAATTTTGGATTCATTCTGATCAGGCTGTTTTTGGGGAAACTAACGTCCATAAGTTTCAAATTCACAAGAGGCTGCAAAGAAAAATACAAGGTAATAAGAAAATATAAGCACATGAAATATTGATTGAGATGACTAGTATTTTATGGATAAGGATGGGTGAGACGTACCAGAACTTCATTCCAAAGTTCTTCAAGATTGCTGTAAGGCATTCCAAGTTTAACAAGATTATGCATACAAAAATTTGATGGTAGAGATTTCAAAGGGTAATCATCCCAGCTCAGAAACCTTAGCTTACCTGGTAGAAATTTAAGGCCTTCAGGAAGAATTATTTTGGTTTCGCAAGAAAAAGAATCATAGAATTCAAGCAGTCTAAGATTACACATCCCTTCAAAGACCGTAGGACTCAAACTTATTTCTTTAATTTTCGATATGTCTAGGGATATTGCTTGAACTGCTTTAGTCCCCTAACAACCAAAAGCAACAAATAAATTCGTATCCTAGAAAAATAAAACAAAAAAAAGTTGAATATATAGAGCAAAAATGTCAAGCAATGGTGAACTTGTTTAACCGTTACCTGATGATGTGTTAATACATGATAGATATCTTCAGGAATCCACAACCTGCTGCGTTTTCTAAGATCACCAACATTTTCTTGACGAATAATATCTCGACCAAGTTGTTGTAGCAAATCATGCATCCGTATCTCGTTGTTTGAAATATTTACGAGGCACTTATCAACGAGACGACCTATTCCATACTCTGCATAGAAACCACAGAGACCTAGTGTTTTTTGGATAAGATCTTTTTTGCGCCTTCCAAAGAAACATGCAATATCAAGAAACATACTCTGCTATGTCCAATGCAATCCATCGTAACTCATTTTCAAAATTTTCTCAATGTCCATGTGAAGATTTTCTTCTAGCTTTGCCAACATACTTCTCCATTCTTCTATCCCCTTGTCTAAAAGAAAGGATCCGAAAACTTTCAAAGCTAATGGAATGCCCTTAGCATAGTTCACCACTCTTCGAGAAAGCTGTATATACTCTGGTTTGGGACAACCTTGTTTGAAAGCCTGTAAGCTGAAGAGTTGAAGAGAATCATTGTAATCTAATTCTTTAACCTCATATATCTCTGCATTTCCATTTTTAAGGACTTGTTTATCTCTACTCGTCACAATGATTCTCCTTCCCTGACCGAGCAAGCCATCCTCTCCTAATAAATCTTTTAAATCTTGAGGGTTACTCATATCATCCAGAACAATGAGAACTTTTTTCCTCTGGAGCATTCTCCTAATTTCAGTGGGCAACACATTGAGCGTGCCTATATTTAAACTTTCTATCTCTAGTACTTTGGAAAGAATTTCAACTCGTAAAGGTAATAGTCCGCGCTTGCTTGATTGTTCCCTGACATTAGGAAGAAAGCATCGGCCTTCGAAAAGAGTAGAGATTCGATTAAATATCCATTCAGTAATTGTTGTCTTTCCTATACCACCCATTTCCAAGATTCCCACAATGCGCACCCCAGGTGATCCAATGTATAATAACGATTCGACGTCTTTGATGCGTGATTTAATTCCAAAAAATCCTTTGGAATCGCTTAAGGAGAAAATAGGATCTAATTTCTTTTGAATGTCACTAACAATTTCACAAATCAGTTTAGTATCTTGCCTGGTGCATAATGAAGGATAAAGAGTGATACCAGTGAGTTGAAATGAGACGGAAGAAACTGAGAAAAAAATGCTTTTAAGAAAATGCATTATGTAATATAATGATAGTTAATTTTATTCGTACCATTAGCATGTTATCGATTCTCAAATAAAATGGTTGGTGTTTGAAGTGGACTTAGATATCATCACATAAACAATAGCGAAAGCAAACCACTGAGTACATACTTAGTGATGTTTGAATCCCAGCCCTTAAGATTGGCTATTTCTTTCAAAGCATGTCTCCAACGCCTCACCTCTGCTGAACTGCATTCTTGTTCATGCTTGCCAAGTGCAGTCCCAAAGCTCTCGCTCGCCTCTTGAACCTCGGTTGGATCAACTTGGTAAAAAACTGGCAAGACAATCTGGCCTTTCGTCTCCTTGCACTCAAGAATCTTCAAGAGTTCACTAAAACAGAAGGTAGAATCAGCATAGTTCTTGGAGAAAATGACTACTGAAATATTCGATTCTTCAATCTTCTCCAAGAGGCCTGCCTCAAGCTTTCTTCCTCCGCTAAGTTTATCATCGATGAAAGCTTGTATTTTTTTTGGCGCAAAGCATGATAAAAATGACCGGTAAAACTATTCCGGGTGTCTGTGCCTCTAAAACTAAGGAACACATCATAGTTCCATTCAGGAGTTCTAATGGCGGAAGACGTAGAGGCCATTAGTTCCCCTCCGGAAACCGTGCGAAGGAGATGAATATTTTGTATATTTGGTAAAATAATTAATCGAAGGGAAGGACAATATGAGATATATGCACACATATAGTACCACAAGTTAAAGAGTATGATAAAGAAAAGAAAATCATGATATCATAACGCGCGTAAACTGTAGTTCTATATTAATCAATTGTTATATGTTAATATTATTAGCAAAATGCTTTTCTGACTGTTTTAAGGTAAAAAACTAAAAAGACATCTATAATTGAGCTTTTGCTTTAGTCCAATGCCGATTGCATAATGCCAAACAGAAACAACAAAACTGTGTTGCCACCCACTTACCAAGATTCCAGCAATAAGTAAGAAAGCACACACTCACTTCACCAAGGAGCACCAACCCTAAACAATGTAGACTTTTCATTCATATTTTTATTGGTTGATTAATTTTGACCACATGTAATATCGAAGGTCGAATCTATTTTCTATACACAAAAAATTGGATTGAGTGAAAAGGACTCTAATCGTGTTAGTAAGTGATTTCAAGTATGATTTTTTTGTGTATGCAAAAAACTCTTTAGATAATTATCTCTATTTTATGCGTTTGAAAGAATAGTGAGAGATTAATTTGAATTTTTGAGTTTGAAATACTTTAGAGGATCCAAAAAAATTGACGGACAAATCTATTTTTTATACACAAAAAATTCATTATAGTCAAATTAAAATTTTTAAATATTATGAATTTATCTCAATTCGATCCAAAGTTTACAGTGTTTTTGAATTATTTAGCCATATCTTTTTTTATGAAGTACACAATTCAAACTAGTAATTCATTTTTTTTTATATATATATAGCTCATGCCATACTATTGGACACCTTGGAAGCTAAATGAAAGCAACAAGGTGAAAATGGCAAACAGAGTAAAAATAGCAACCAGCAAGGCCAAGACAGAGAATCAAGCTTAACCCAGAATTTGAAGCAAAAGAAACCGGGATAAGGAAAAAAAAAAACTAACAAAGCACAAAATAAAAACGACAAATTAAGTTATTTTGGGCTTGATAATGAATGAAGCCGCCATGCTTGAATGAATCATAAGCCACTTAGTGGAACATAAAGAAACAAGATCCCTAAGCTAGTGATTCATTAAAGTACAAAGCAGAGAGAATTTTCTTTTAATTATCCTATTAGTATTTAATAATCTTAATTAGGATGACTGGGAGTTGCATGCACGGTTCAACTTCTACATTTTTTATTTTTGCAAACATTTTATATATTAGCCACTGCTTCTAGAAGTGATCCACCAATTCCTAGACTAGTAGGGTCTCATGGGCAAGCATTTATCCACTAATGGCAGAGTTCCTCCAATCGAAAAAAGACTTTCTGAAAAAGTAGAATGCGTTGCCCTTCTTGGACCAGGCCAGTCGAAAACTAAATCGTCATTCTCTATCTTTCTGGAAAGCAAAACGCTTTGCTCAGGGCTTGTTGACCAGTTGAAGACTTAAAAAAGCTAAGCGCATGACCAAACACATTTGTAAGTTCGTAACGAATAAGTTCTTGATAACTCAATTTAATTTGATGGACTATACCTTATCCTCATTTACTGTAAAACTAAAACAGGTAAGGTTTTGAAACAATAATAAACAGTTAGGATCAGTGAAAATCATTCTTCATTGTTGTAGCTTAGGTTTATATATATATATATATATATATAAAATTTTTAAGTTGTTTCATTTTGGTCCCTAACAATTTAAAATAAAAATTTTAATTCATTAACTAATGCAATACACATGCCTTTTCTATTTTTTTTTCTTTGTTTTTTTCCATCAATTTATGTTTTTTTATTCAATTAGATGTTAAAATTTTAAAAAATCAATTTTTTTTTGTTTTTTCCATCAATTTATGTTCTTTTTTTTTTTTTTGATTGAGTGTTAAAATTTTGAAAAATCAATCGTAATCTGTTTTCACATAACTGACAATTATATAATATATCTTTTTATATTTTAAAATTAACATATGCTTCAGCTTATATTACTCTTATTATTTAAATTTCATTCTTTAAATTTATCATTTTTTTATGAAAATTCTCATCCAATTAATATTTTTATATAAAATTTTATTTATTGATATTGTATAATTTATTTTTCTCTATTTTTTTTTGAATAAATTGGTATAATATATATTATGAATTCTTAAAATTTTTAAATGATAGTTGCATATAATTTTTATGTAAGTTTATACATTAATTGTTACTTTATTTTTTGGATGCATTCTTATAAAAATATATATATAATTTTAAAGTATTTTTTTTTAATTCTTAATTAATATTTTAGGTTTACATTATCACAAGTTTTTATTTCAGAATCCCCGAATAACGAAGAATAAATCATGTTTTTTTAAGCAAAAATTTTATGAAAAACACACAAATAAATAGTAATAATTAAATAAAAAATATAACATTTTGAAATGATTTTGTTCTATTTACCCATAGTGTTGTGCATATAATTTTAAAAATTAATCTTCTCATCAGCATTAAATAATAATTTTTTTATTTGTTAATTTTTGTAAAAGTCTCGTCCATTTTTTTTGGAATACAATATTATGAAAATTATATTTTTAAAGTTTTTTTTTTCAATTCTTGATTAATATTTTAGTTAAAATTATTATAATTTTTAATTTTAAAACTAGCCTATAAAGAAGAATGATTTATGTTTTTTTAAGTAAAATATTTATAAAAAAATTAGAAAAAATTAATTAAATAAAATATTATAATTAAAAATTTTTAAATAATTTTATTATACTGGACCTGTAGCACAATGTGAGCAACCAGCTAGTATGATCTAAACGTTTACACTCGAAATTATTACTAGTGCACTGCTCAAATGTTTGTACTTTCAAGATATTGAGATGAAAAAAATCACAAAATCGTGAGTTTGCTATCGTCTTAAGTTCTCAATAAAGGTTGCCAATAATCCCACTATTCATTAGTGGACCTCCATTACCAACAACAAAGTTAATTCGATCTATACTAGGCTTGAAAGTTACTTACAACTTCACAAAGGGAAAGAAAATGATGAATAATTTATTTAAATCATGGTTAATATGATTAATAATTCCTCTTTACTATATATTTCGTTCATATTTAGGATTCTAAATTCATAACACCATTAATATCGAAGAAGAAATAACTACTAATACTTATTTTATGGATCCATCGTGAGAAAAGATACATATATAAAAAAGAAAGAAAATCATATTTGAATACCAAAAATAATAAAAAATTTATAAAAAAATGATAATAATAATAGAATTGAAAAAAAAATAATAGAAAAATAAATTTACTATAAAATAAAATGAATACGGATATAACAACTCAAAATAATTATCTACATCTTTACAAAACACATCTCAAACCGATGAACAATCAAACCTCTTTATGAATTTCAAGATTAGGAAAAGAATTTAAAAGGACTATGAACCATTAAAAATACATAAACAATTGAATAAATTGCATTGTCTTTTTAATTTCTCATTATTGAATCATATGAGTAGTGAAAATAAGAAATGATTATAAACATTCATTACTTCATAATAAAAAAAATTATTTTCATAGAAATTCAATTTTTTTTTTTAATTTTCTCTTCTTTTAGGGTCTATCTCTCACTTATTAAATAAGTATTGATAATTATTGTTTGAGTACCATAAAAGTTCTTAATATTGATGTGCTATCATGCGAATAATGGGAACATGTCACACTACAAAGAAACATAGGATTTGCAATGGGAACGTAACGACGATTTATAAACCATCGCTAATCTATCAATAGTTGCGATTATTAGAGAAAAAATAGTCATGTTTTGAAAAATTTAATAATGATCTCAAAACCGTAACTAAAATGGTCAAATGTGACCAAAATTGGCGATGGTTCTCAAAAAATTGTCACAAAATGGTAAAAAATTAACGACGGTTTTATAGATTAAGAAAAAAAATCTCGTAAAGGAAAAATATATTAGATCAAAACTCGTATTAAATTTTGGTATAACAATCAAAAAATTGCAATATTGACAATGTTATCTGCTTAAGCAAAAATACATCGGAATACAAAAAGGAAAGAACAGCTAACCAACGACCTATCTAATTTTTCCCTGTTATATTTTATTTGACGATGCCAGATGTGACATTGAAGGCTTGATTTTTAAATACACAATTGTGATATTAACGGTTTTTTCTTTTAAATTAAGATAAAAAAAAACTTGCACCAATAGAAACCATTTGTGACCTTTGATTATAGAAGTTGGTCTAACTATCGCATTTAATTTGACTTCATTTTCAATACTTCCAAAGCATTTAGTACTCGTGTCTCGTAATCGTCATTTGTCAAACAGAACCTTTTGAGCTTTTTTTTTTTTTTTTTTTTGGCTTCTTTTTTCCTCCAATAAACTTTCAGCTTTGTGTTGGGTTTTGGGTGGGTGGGTGGGTGGGGTGGGGTGGTTGGCTGGGGGTGGGGGGTGTTTGACCTTTTTCGGAAAGCACTATGCTTCAACATCTTTTTGCATTCAAGATCTTCACATTCAATTTACTTCGCATTCTAGCCAATTTTCCATCGAGTTCAGTTTAAGAAAAGCATATATAAAGTAAATGTATATTCATTCATTGTTTGTTAGAATTTAACTTCTGCAGTTAGTACTAAATAAAGTAGAAGATTTTTTATTTATTTATCATTTTTTATCACTTTATCCTTGTGGGCCCATCCTTTTTTCAATCAATTATGGACTAAGTACATAATAGTGCGTGCCTAGCTAGTCTCTGGTCACTCTCACTCTCTGCGTATAATAAATCAATTACTTTTAAATGCTCTTTTCTTTTTCTGAAAATATTTTTAAATTTTTTTAAAGATAAATAAATAATTGTATAACTGAGCATTATTATTGATGAAAAGTGTTTGGATTCTTGGACATAGAATTGACAAAAAAGTACTTGCATTATTTTTTGATATAGTTGAAACTAACATTCTAAAAAAATACATGACCTGTTTTACATCTAATGCTATTTTATTATAAATAAGATTTTTTTTTATTTTTCGAGTATAAGTAAATATTTTGATTGAAATTCTCGTGATATACATATATACGTGTGTGTGGAAAAATCAATCAAAAGAATATATTAAAGCTTAAATAATATTTTAAAAAATAATCGATGTAATTAGAAAAATAAAAATAAATAAAAAATATTGTTAATTATATAAAAACAAATTAACTTATTTATCATTTTTCATCTGAAAACAAGCAAATTTACCATCAAATCCCGCTTTGCAAAGTCTATATATTAACGGCAGAGGAAACATAAAATCTAAAAACATATTTTTGCAAGAAATGCCAATAATACAACAATAGGACGTACGTGGAAAGTCAGGCAAGATTTAAATTAACGTATAAAGTACTGAAAAAAATATCCGGGAAAATGTGTCACCGTTTCATTGGCCAGGTTAAATAATCCAACAACTGTTCCTGTACCGACCGAAACATTTTTGAAATACACCCTTCTCAGGTATGCCTTGCTTTCATTCCACCAATTCTCATAGTAATCATTCAGCTGTTGGGCGAGACCATCATAACAGGAAGAAACTTCTTGGATTTCGAGGCAAAGTTTGTTAATCATCTCCACCACAGCTTTACTATCGCCTATCCTATTAACAATAACTTTCTTCTTAACGAGCAAATCCACATCTTCTTCAATGTCCACAAGAAAATCCAACAGCTTAACATAATGGCAGATGTACTCTTGTCTTGGATAGTGGCACTGCTCCAACGCCATTAGGTTTCGGAAGAGGCATTCAGTGTTGTCGTCAATTTCTAGGCGTGGTATATGTAACTCACCTTTCCTGACGGAATTACCTTCTCTTTTCTGGTGATCACCATTATTGATTGAGCTCCATGCTCTTATGTCAAGCAAGCATTCATCTGGCAATGGCTTAAACTTCATTCCTGCTTCACGCAGATTGGCTACCCTGTAGAGATTTTTAATTGGTGCATTGAAAAGTTCCTGCGGACGCTTGGAGGTCAAAAAGTATCTTACCAAATCAGTGAAATGTAATGTTTCCTAAGGCGGATTGCATTTGCTCTTATTGTAATTCTCAAAGTACTGACAGGAAAGTTTCAGAAAATCAGAGCAGTCAGTTTCAATATAGTCTTTGACAAGGTTGTACAATTTCTCAAGAATCGAGAAAGGAAGCTGATTTTCAAGCAATATCAAATCCCGTTGAATCGCAGTTCTCAACCAGGTTTTACCAAATATAAAATCATCTTGATATTTGTTATTACCTTTCACGTATTCTTCGTATCTCAAGAAGAGCTCAAAGATGAGTACAACATCCAACAGAATCATATTCACAAATAGGTCACTGCTAGGTAATGAGATATCAGCTGAATAACGATGGCGGATGTTAACTTCATCATCTTCTTTTTGAGAATTAGGAACTACACAATTTTTTATGTCATCCAAAAGTTTTTGAACTATTCCCCGTTTTCTCTCCATTGGGATTTGCAATCGTTCACAAAATTCTTTAAAATATCTTTTTTTCTGAATTTCCATAGCCTTCAATTTTTCATTGTCATGGTGAATAGGGCCTATAGAAATAGCCCGAGGAGTGTAGGCGGCTTTGTTTAATTCGTGAACTGAAGTTGGAACTCTGTAGATACATACCTTACTCGAAAACTTAGTCTCCAACCCATTTGGAAATTCTTTTACAAACTCCTTGCATAGATTTTCAATTTCTTTCGGAGAAGTTGCTGGTTCAATATTTCCTCCCATCGGTCGAAATTGTCTGCATAAGTGACAGAATAAGTTCTTCCATTGCGTTTAAACAAACTGAACAATCTATATATACTATTTCTATTCCCTGTTTGAACATGGAAAAACTATGCGTGCCTTGCAAGATATTATTAATTAATTTATGGTTATTCAACGAAAAAAAAAAACCCTCTATCGAGACTTTTTTTCTTTTGCATCTGCTGAATCTTGAGTCCAATACTGTAATAAATAAATCATGACTAACATTTTTTCCAGACAAAAAGTATTGATAGAAAAGCTAAACGATCGCTTATGCTGCTCCTTATCCGGATCCATGTGTGTAACAAAAAGCAAAAATGGACAACCGTAACACTTAAGCAATTTTAACAGTGTTTCTTAAATTATCCACGTGTGAAACAACGAAAGCAGAAATTGAAAATTAATGAATCATTGCATAATGAACCTGAAAATTTTGGCCTGAGTGAAGAGCTGTATGTTTGATAGCTTCAGCTTTGATCCTCTCATCTTAGCCACCTGATGAGCGTACATTAGATTCCAGAGTTTGTTCTTCCTACGTATATTAAATTTTTCTTTAGACTGACATATAGTACACTTGGAATCTATTCAGATATAGTCCTGGCCCCTGTTAGGGAAAGAGAAACAGGCTTGAGAAATTGAAAGAGAAAGGAAGTGTTTTATTGTTTTGCTACGTAGACATGTACTCGATAAAATAAAAGAGTTTACTGTGTTTTAGGTTGACTTGCAAGCTTGCCTGAAATCACTCACTATGATCGAGTAAAACAATGTTTATTGTGTTCTGTATGATGCATTATTATTTAGTACACACATTGAATTAGATGCCACACATAATTTGATTTTAATCTGTAAATCCCAATAAAATTTGTATGCTGCCCTCCTGGCTCACAGGCAAGGTTGAAAACCTCAGCAGCCTTTTTAATTATTCTTAAGAAATTCGTTTATTAATGTAATAAATATTTTATTTTATGCCGATAATTATTTTTTATTATTATTTGATAGTAAGGGATATTCTTGCATTAAGATAAATTGAAACTAAATTTCGTCAACAAATGATTTTAAGGATCCAATCTCTACGTTAACTTGGTCCATAAAACAAACCTTATTGACAACTAAAACAATCCCTTTAAAATTATCAATAATTAATTAATGAGTCAGTACATGTGAAGATATAAGAGTCAACCCACACTTGGTAGGTAAGAGTTTCTGATCTTTTTTTTTAATTGAATCTTTTTATTCTTTTTAATATGTTAGGTAATGGAAACCTCTTGTCTGATACATCACAATCGAAGGATACAGAAAATCTAAGCTAGTCTATGTTCTTAATGTTATTGATTATAAATAACATTGATAATATTATATAATTTATTTGTTAATATTTTTATTAAAGAATATAATTATTCTTCCCACTTGTACTTAATTAGGTGGCGGAAAGCTTCAGCTTAGGTTGTCCATTCCACGAACGAGATTGGTAAATTTTAGCGACCATCTTTATTTTAACATAGATTATAAGCATCTATGGTTGTTAACGTTACATTGCAATTTATAGATTATTAAAACATTTGCCAAGCAAATTTACAGACTTATGTCGCTCTCTATAAATATTTTAAGTATAGAAAACGAATTAAAGTTATTAAAAATATAGGGAATGAAATAACCTTAAATCAAAGGGCTATCTAAAAATATGTTTCATTTGAAGAGCTAGTAAATCAAACTTCTTAAAGATATTTAAGAACAAATTTTATATTTGAACCAAGGGTTGATAAATAAAATAAATAAATAAATTATTCAGAGCATTTAAAAGTGTTTGAATTTTTTCTCCAAAAGAAAAAAAAGAAAAAGAGATACGTATTTCAGTTATTTAGAAGAATTAGCGCCTATTTTAAAGTGAGAAACAAATTTTTAGACTGTAGATTTTTTGGTAAATATTTTAAATATAGTTGTTAACATTATTGAGAATATAACGATTATAATATCCCTAAATCAAGAGACGAAAATATATTTCATTCAGGGGCTAAATAAAACATCATAAATGTTAATGATCAAAATAAACACGTCAAGGATACAAGCAAATACTGAAATACTCTCCCAAGTTGTTTCGATTAATTGTGTAGCTTGAGCTCAAATCCATATTTATTCTACAAACTTGAAATCGCTATTTGCTAAAGAAAATTTGCCTTACCATGCCAATCGAGCTAGATGCATGGTGTTTATACAATACTCAAAGTCTTATATTTGTCTTTATACAATACTCAAAGTCTTATATTTTTCTTTAGATTTTTAATTGCATCACATCTATTATTGAAAAATGTTTAAATATTTAATCTGTTCAATAGACCAAATTTTCCAACAATTAATTTTTTTTTTATCGAAATGCTTTTTACTAAAATGTGAAAAAATAAAACAAAAATACTTAAAGTCAAATGACTCGCATATTCTATTTTTGAAGTTCTTTGAATTTTATTCTATTTGGATTTCAATTAGATGTATTTTGATAAAAAAAAATTATTTGGTCAAAAAAATTAATCGGAATAACAAATTAAACATCTCAAATGCTTTTAAGGACAAATGTGATGTAATTAGAAACTTAGAAACATATGAAAGATTTTTAAGTATTATATAAAGACATATTAATATATTTACTTTTGAACAAATATCAAGAAAATATTTGTTTGGAACATTAATAGATGATAATTTTAGTATCTTGGTAGTAAAAATAATTTTAAACTTGAAACAAAAGATTTGCACTAAAGTATTTATCCATTCATGTAAATCATAAATTAAATTAAATAATATGATAAAACAATATTTTAACATATGCAACAAAAACAATAAAAAAACTGAATAAACATATATGACTATAAATTGGATAGACTTCAGGTTACTCTACTGCTTATTAGGCAAGATTATTTATTTAAGTTTTTTAAATGCTACCTAATGGAAAATTTTTGTTCTGTCCCGTTCACAAACTAGGTACAGAAGCTTCGCAACTTTCTTATTCTTAATGATGTTGATTATAAATAACATTGGTAGCATTATATAATTTATTAATAGATATTTTTTTATAAAAACTATAATTATTTTCTATCACTAATTATAATTAGGTGGTGGACAGCTTTTGCTTTGTCAAAACGTGGAAGATAACTTTCTGCAGGCCTCTTATTTTTAATATTGACTACAATTAATTAATGTTAGTAGCATTTATAGTTTATTATATTTAAAATATTTTATTAATGTTCGATTTATTTATTGATATGTGAGCCCGCAACGTATTAGATTGGCCAAAATATGATGTCATTCCTAAGGTAATTAGGCATAAGACACGGTGCTTTATTAGCATTTTATAGAAATGAAAATAACTTACGTTGGAAATGATGCAGAGTCAATATGACACCATTTCAGGATCTCTCTTAATAGTTTAAGATTGTGTTTTTACTGTTAAATTGTATGGTGGCACATAGCTTGACTGTCACAAAGTAAAAACATGGCTTGATGGCTTGCGGATTTGAGAGAGTGAAATCGGTAAGGAGACTCTGTTTTTACTGTTTTTCTATCACTTTTGAAGTTGATGATGCCATATAACGATATTCTGTCCGTGTCGGTTGAAGGAGAAACTGTTGTCTGTTTCTTTGTTTTCCAAGAAATGGAAGATGGTCGATTAAGAGGTAACTTGCCTAATTTGAGGCATAAAAAGATATATATTTGGAGGTCACTAAAGGCAGAAAAATAAATACCTTTACATGGGAATGATTTTAAGTTCCGTAGGGTTCTCATGACAAAATCAAAATGAAATTGTTTAGGATCTTGCATGAATTAACTTAGTATATTCACAGAATAAGTTAAATTTGGAAGTGTGATAGTAAGGTAGATAAGGGGTCCAACCAGCTGGGGATAATTATCTTGTTTTTTCAATTAACAAAAATATTGATAAAAATACAAAAATTCAAACTATAAATCACATATATTTCAATGAAATCATAATGATCTAATATCAAGTTAACATAACTTCTTGATAAAAGAAAAAAAAAAGTTAACTTAAATTGACATCATCTTTTTATATTCTAGTTTTCAAAAAAACAAAAAAACAAAAACAAAAACAAAACATGTGTTAATTGGGTAAAACATAAATTTTAATTTTATAAAATTAATAATACTAATACACAACATATATTTTTTGTTTAAATCATAATTGGAATTTTGATGACACTAATTATATGAATTTTAATATGATTGAAAGATAAATATTTGATTGAGAATTTTTCATACTTTAGAATATCAATTGAAAGATAAAAAAATATAATATCATTATTTATATTAGTTAGATGCAAAAGAAGAGTTGAAACTTTGATTAAAAAATCAAGAAAATAATTCATACAAATGAAATCTCCTGCAAAAAAAATGAAAAACACCTCAAATGTCAAGAGTACTAACTAAAATTTATACTAAAAAAATTGCAAAGGAAACACATGCGTGAATTATAAATTTGTTTTTCTCGTTTTGAGAAATGAATTAATTAAACCATTTAGTTTCACAAATTAATTATTTAATCTTTTTAACTAGTGTCGATCGTGAGTAAGTTAATATATATATATATATATATATATATATATATATATATATATATTCTCATTAATCTTTTTACATTTTTACTTTTTTTTATTTTTTTCGATTTTTTTAAAAATAAATTAAATAAAAAATAAATAAATAAATAAATACATAATTTTTAAAACTAAAAGGAGTAATTAATTCATTTTTTAAAGCAAGAGGGACTAATTTATAATTTACTCGGAAACACCTCGTTCCCCCTACAAAAGAGAAAAAACAAAATAAAACTGTCATTGTCCTTGTACGGACTGTCAAATTTGATGCTCTACGGGATAAGGACCAAGGACAAACCCGACCCCTAATTTTGATTGCCATTTTATTTTTATTTTTAGTTATTATTATTATTATTATTATTATTATTATTTGTGTTTTTTTTAATTTTTTTGTATTTGATATTATTGTTCGATCCACTAATTAAGGTAGGGTCATGCCTTTTAATTTGTTGAGTAACATTGAATCACAAACCCATCCTTTTTACTATTGTCATTTTTTATTTGATGATGCACCATAATCTAATATTCCTTTCGTCCAATAAAAAATATCTTTTATAGCTATTCACAAATATTAAAAAATTATTATATTATGGTCATTACAATTATAATGATAATTATTTCGATCATATCGGGATATGACTATGATCACATCTTCATCCATGTCTAAAATTATTATAAATTATCACATTTACTTCAAGGAATGGAGTATGTCTAATTGGATGAGATTTATTATTATTTTTTTTATTTAGCCACTAACAAGTATAAAATCGATCCAAGATATTTCTTAAATTCTTTTTCTCGATATGCTACTGCAGGAGCATATTCAAGACATAAAAAGCAAATAATATTTTTTCAAAATCAAGCACTCATAATTAATAATTCTTATTCAAAATATCAAGAGTCACCAAATCAAGTTTATGAGGTTTGATATGATAAAAATTCTATAATACAATATATAATAATAATATTAGAAAATAAGAACAAATATAATAATAAAATTAAAGCTTTTCAAATAACATATATTAAATCATTGGTAGATCATTTAAGTTTTTCAAATATATATTTCATGTATCAATAGATTTAAAGTACATGAATAAATTAGATACATGCCTCTTAATGATCTAAATAATTTAGATTTTTTGGTAGAGTACTTGTGTAGAAGAAATCCAATTGTTGAAACAATTGATTAAATCTTTTGATAAATACATACCTCACGGTCTATTGTCTCAATTGGTTAGAGCTTTGTGCTGATAACGTGTTATAAAATAAATAGAAATAATAAGAAAATTGAAGAAAATGATAACAAGAAAATGAAATCACTATAATGTGAATATAAGTGATAAGAACTTCAAAGTTTCTCTTATTCTCTCTAGAAAACTTGTACACCAACTAATGAACAAATCAAGCTTATTTATAAGCTTCAAAATTAAGAAGAGAATTAGAAGGGACTATGAATAATCAATTGTATCACCCTTTCAATTTCTCATATTGAATGATGAATTGAATCATATTAAGAATAACGAGTAGTGCGGATATGAAAAGTAGATAAACATGATGATGGACATTTATTATTTCATAACAATTAGATAATTGAATTTGGATTTTATAATTGAAACTTAATTTTGTGGTGGGAATTTCATTCATTATGGGATATTTTGTCTAATGGTTTATATATATATCGATGGATATATACAATTTTCAATTTCAATGAATTTTTATTTTTAAAAAAATTATTAAAGAATAATATAAAATTATTTTTTAAAATTTCATTGCACGGTTTAAATTTTAAATTGAAATGGATATTTCTTATTTGACAACAACTCCTCAAGTTTCCGTAGCCTAAAACCATATATATTACTACTCAATTAGGACGGAAAAGAAGTATATTAGGTTGGCATGTGCAAAGAATATTGGAAGTAAAGCTTACCAAGACCAAGTTGGGATTCTTAATATGTGAAGATACTTGGTGTGCAAAGGAACCAAACTACTCGAGATAGGCATAAGAACTTGAGAAGTGTCTGGAATTCAGTGGAGAAAGAATTAATGGGCCGATACAAACACAAGACTAGTCCAGCATAATGCTGATGGGTGTTACAAAAGATCCAACAAAAAACTTCTGATGGACCATTGTGAGAAGAAGAAAAAAATTGAGCCTCAAAAGCCCATATAAGGAACTCCCATCACAAAAATATATTATTCCAGGAAACTCCTTTTCAAAAGTCCAATAGAAAAATTGAGGTGTCTCGCATGTGGATATTTATGTTAGGGGTGCCAATCTAGTGTTCTTGTCGTGTAAAATTCATTGCTAATTTCTTGATTTGTCTCTATTCTATTGATATATCGGTCAGCATCCATCGAGTTATTTAGTTGCTATATTTGTATTTTGTTTTTTTTCAACTAAAGATAGATAATGTCTAGATTAAGCTAAGTCGTTATCTACTCATCGTGAAGCGGTTGGATGATTACTTCTTTCTTATTTTCTTTATGAATTGCTACTTCTACTGATACAATGTTAAAGGAAAAAAAATCATTTCAATGTTGTTTGAAAACAGAAAGCAAAGTGAAATCGATCGGTTTTGCTTGGTGAGGATGAGTTTTGAAATAGAAATACGGCCTAATTAAAAACAAGCCTCTGTCTATGTGTACACTTTCAACTTGATCATGGATCTTCTCCCGGACGTGATCTTTTTTATAGAAGTGTTCATTATCCTTTTTATTTATGGGCAAATCATTCTGCTATGTACTTTTTAGATGGCGATCTAATAATATAATACTATGGCCTCTTGATTTTTTTATTTTTTAGTTTTGAAACTGTCTTTATATGTGCTATTTTTAGGGATTGAGATCCTACAATGTTTTAACATGCTTCTTAAATCTAAATTATTAAATTTAAATTAAATAGTCACGATTTAAATATATAATAAAAAATAGTAACACCTAAACTATTTTTTTCCTCATCTTAATTATCATATTAAAATATAGTTGTAAGATTTGACATATGAATGGTAATAATATAAGCGGATCCACATCTTTTTGTCTTTTCATGAGAGAGCCACTAAAACTCTCTTTTATTTTGTTATAAGTAGATGCATTTCTTTGTTTCATTATGGGAGTAGGCTACTAAGTTATAAATTACTTTGAATTATTGATTAAAAGAAAAAAAATTTCAATTTTTATTTTTTGTCAGCAATTAAAATTTTTCTTTTGTTTTTTTAATTAATTTTAGGCCATATAAAGGATATATAGAATTGTTAAAATACCAATATATTTCTTGAAAGTTTAAAACACAATATGTGTAGTTATTTTATGATTTTATATATTTTTCACATGTATTTAATGTGATTTGAGATTGATAAATGGATGAAAAAACTTAATTATTAATAAAAAATTAAAAAGACAAATAAAAAAAAAGTTGTTCTATTAACCAATAGTTTAAGATAGTTTATAATCAATTACCCTCGGAGATATGATATGATAAGGTCTTTATTTAAGAGCAAACAAAGAATATGCCAAAGAACAGAAGTCAAGCCATAGAAGGAAACAGGAGTTTTAGCAGCTGATATATCATTTTCTGACGCAGCACTCTGGCCGATAAATTCCAAACAGATGAGTCGTTAACTTGGTCTTGATTGTACGATCTGAACCAGCACGTTTGGTGGCCCTACAAAGGCGGGGGCTGGAGATTTTTTCTACATGATGATGAAGGTGAGTCGAAGCACAATTCTCAGCCATGACGTCATAGCCTTGCTGGCTAAGCTATATATGGAAAATGTTTGATTCCATCGTGGTAATAAGTATCATTTTTTAAAAATAAAAAGAGTTTAAGAATAAATTTTAAAAAATAAAAATATTAAATAAAATAATATTTATACTTTTTTAAAAAATATTATCTTTATAAAATTATGATAATTTTTTTTACACAACTAATGTCATATAACATTATCGTGTGTATATATATATATATATATTTTAAGAGGAAGACCATTGACGGTCCATGCACCTAACATTTAAATAAATATATCCTTTTTATTTTTAATTTTTATTTTTATTCGACTCTAAGGGTAGGGATGGACTTAAGTGTTAATCAATATTTTTTTCTCTCTCTTTTTATCGGTATAGTACATATTTTTGGACTATTGGTAGGGATGGACTATATTTCAAGAATTTCCTACAATAAATACAAATGCGAAAATGATCTCGCTACAGTAAATATATTTTTGATTTGATTACCATTTTCGAGACCAAAAATGATTGGTAAACAAGGTTTGCAAAACAGATGGATTGGGAAAAGGAGACCTAGAGAGCAAATGATGACATCAACTTAATTTACAGGTCTTTTGTCGTTGGCACACCAAACTTTTTTTTTATTCTAAAAGCCTTACGTGCAGAATGATCAAACACCTCGTTGGAAATCTCTATTCTTCCTTACCTGTATTTGAAAAATTTGACGTTTCTGCTGCTGGCGGCTTTCCATGGCATTTGAACCTGTGCCTCGGGTTTCTTTCTACAAATCGCGGGACCAAAGCAAACATTGTTATGCCCTCTGTCAGGTTGTCCTCTAAATAAAAGAAACTTCTGAAAAGATGACTGATCATTTTCAATTGAAGTTACACTCTCACATAAAAATGGAGTTTATGGATAATTGCTACAAAGGATCTTGTGATTATATAAGACATTGCAATAGAACTCGAGGTAAGCCTAAAAATTTCTTAAAAATTGTTATTCTTAGTTATATCTATCAATTTAGGATAATAGATAAATTATATTACATGGTAAAATGAAAAAAAAAGGGACATGTGTATATGTATTGTATATAATATTTTCTATGTTTTTTTTTTTTTTGGTATTACACAATGAGAACATCACTAATGACACCATAAGATTTATATTTAATATAATATAATTTCTACTATTATCCACATTTAAAATAAACTTTTAAAATACTATGACAAAATTACCCATGAAAAAAATCATTAATTGATTTTGTTTTGATTAATTGTTTATAGAACATAAATGGTTTAATTTTCATCAAATAAATAAATAAAATAGCTTAATAGCTTCTACCAGACACGCTCAGTGCAAGTATATGTCACCCCAAGGATTCATCAATTGCTCCAGTACTTCAGCTGTTAATTGTTAATTATGGTTGAAACTTTTTCAATCTTATTAATCTTAGATTTAGTCCAAAACATCCCACTACTTAAAAAATTAAATTTTAAAAATTAAAATTTCCCATTAACTCAGTGTCAAGACTTCCATTGATTAAACTGTAATTACTCAATGAAATTTCATTTAATGTTAATTGACAGACTCACTCAAGTCTCTCTCTCTTTTTTTTTTTTTGGCATTTCTTTTCTTAGTTCCATTGATTAAATTGTAGGTTTGATCATTCTACCATTTTCACATCTAATGGATGGAAATTTACCCATATTAATGGCTTATTTAACCCCATCATACTAACAAAATATTCTAATATCATATTAATTAGAATTAGAATATAGGATGATGGAATTGGGATCCTAAAGTCTTGCCTGTACAGAAAAATACCAAAATTATCGATTTATAATCCAAGAAACACACCGTAATTAAGGAACGAGTTATAAAGAAAACAACGAGTTAGTAAATCAGCGGCATTCTTATATAAGCAAGAGCAGTGAAGTCTTATATTCAAATCTGGTCATTGTAAAAACTCCAATAAAAGTGGAATGTACTCGCAAAAAAAAAAAAAAAGTTACAGGCATGTAACTATAGTTTAATTTAAGAAATATGTTTTTTTCGACATAAATCATGCACCCCATGCAACAATATGTTTTTTTCCCCCCAAATGCGTACATAGGGAAAACTACAATATATATATATATATATATATATATATATATTTTAAATTTATACATTCAAGACTTTTAATAGAATTAATCTATTAGAATTTTAAACTCGTGATCTTTTATTATAAAAAATAATTATCATTGATTTACAAGCTTTTTAATAAGTAAAAACTAGCATGTATGCCACACCACGTTAAATAGTAAAACATTTATGCTATACACCCCATGCATGAAACAATCCATCCAAAAGGACCAAAACTCCCTGCTGCCAGATTCAAAACTGTGAGATATATGCATTTGGAGAGTGCAATGGCTCTAGCACCCACATTTCATCTGTGTATGTTTCTCCATCATCCTCCACCTTGCACGAGCCTTCCATCGAATATGGCCACTTATCCCATAAACTTAGTTCTCCAAATGATTCAAGTAATCCAACATCGATCTCCTCATCTATGGTCTGGTTTTTATTCTTCTTTTCATCATTCACAAAATTAGGGTTTGAAGCACTAAACGGCTTTGGTGACATGGGGAACCACCCCTTGGAGGAGTACTCTTCTGAATTCAATATCTTCGGATGCGAAATATCCCTTTCAGATGGATTCTTCTGTTTAAATTCTATGTTGGATTTTTGTGTTCCTTGTAGTTCAGTTGTTCGCATTGCAATATTAATATTGTTGATCAAGTGTTTCCTCAAGTGGGTGTTCCAGTAATTCTTTATGTCATTATCTGTCCTACCAGGCAATTTTGCTGCAATTGCAGACCATCTGAAACGGATGAAGGAAAGAAAATGTTATTGAGGATGTTATGTAAAAGATCCAATTTATTTTTCTCTTGTTCATTGATGGATTAAGCAATTATTAGTGATCATTAACTATATCATACTTGGCTATACCAAGTAATTAAATTAACAGAAACTATATATTAGACAAGGGAAATTGATGGATTTGCAACAAAACAATGAGATAATAAGAAAATCAAATCCTTCCGTACTCACATATCTATAAGATTATAATATTTCCTCTTTGTACCTCTATTAAATACATCTAAATTAACCATATTTTTTACTTAGTTATTACTGTTTTCTAATCCCAGCGGCTTTTGCACTCAATTAATTAGACTGATTCTCCCCGAAAGATTCGTGTAACTTAGCAATGATGAGCCAAACCGTATGCATTGTAAGACATAATTAAGTTCAAGGAATGAGCTCAGCGTTAACTTTAACTTGTGAAATAGGCGGAACGGTGACGAAGTTAATTGTAAGAAGTATATTTCAGAGTATAGTTAATTTTACCTATTTCCGAGTAGTTCATGCAGCTTGATTATAGTTTGCACTTCTTCTTTGCTGAAGTTTCCACGTTTTATATCTGGCCTTAGATAGTTCATCCAACGAAGCCTGCAACTCTTTCCTGACCTCAGCAAACCTAGATTATTTAGAGGAAAAAAGAAGTAATTAAGAAAATAACATCATAATTTTAATTTCTTCTCAGTACTAGAGAATTTTGCCTCTAGTTATTCAAATAATCATTATAATTAATTACCAGCAGCTTTTGGCATCTCGTTCCAATTCCAAATGCCATATCTCTTAATATAAGCAATCAACTTCAGATCTTCTTCGGGACTCCATGCCCCTCTTTTCAAAGAAAAAGGCAGATTCCGATAGTTCCGTGATGTCCTTTTCATCATCTCTGGCCGTGAGAATCCTCGTCTGGACTTCAAGTTCTCTACCTTAAAACACCAAACAGCAGTCATTGCCGCACGCCCTGAAATGCTCTAGCGGAAAAACAAGTTTCAAAGTTCCAAACGTTCCATACCCATATATATATCATAAATTAAATGTTTTGTTTAATTATAATATTTACAAGTTTATTGGAAAAGAATAACGGTCAAGACAAGCTAGAGGGTTGCCTTGAATGAAAAGTATTTTAGTAGTTTAAATAAATGTTTAAATAAATAATATCGAATAGAAATCTTTATATATCTAGATGTTTTCATGTTATGCACCTAACAGAAGGCTTGGGATACGGACCTTAAAGGATAAAAAAACCATGAGGCAAAACGGGATTAGACTATTAATTAATTGTAATTAAACGCCTAGGGTCAAAAAGTTTTTTGACTTTAATAACAGAAAGAAATGAAGGGTGAAAATTTTCTTTGCTCTATTTTGTCTCTACTAGAAATATTTGGAATCCAAGTAATCATAATTACCTGTTCCAAATTCCATGCCTTAATATAAGCTAGTATTAACTTCCGATATTGGGTTAATGGTATGAAACCTTATTCTATTTTTCTGATTTTTTTTAATGTGGTTTTTATAGTTTGTTTTATTCTACCATTCTCTGTATTTTTCAATTTCTTTTTAATGTGATCTCTCTAGCTATTTACTAACTAATTTTTCGAACAAAGCTGAGAGAAATTTTATAATACACAAGGAGTAACTAGTGGTATATATAGTAGTTACTCTTTGGGTCCACTTTGAGGAGAGAGAAAAAAATAGGAGAGAGAAAATAAAAAAATTTGAACGGACGTAGAAATCTTTTTATCACTTCGATGGATATAGATGTAATTTCTCTCTTTTTTTGTGTCTATCTCTCTCCTTAAAGTGAGCCCAAGGAATAACTACCGTACATGCCACTAGTTACTCCTTGTGTATTATAAAATTTTCCCAAAACCGACGCTTGGTATAAAAAATCCATGTGACGTGCCACGTCGGACTAACTTAACACATGGCTAAAATGAAAAAGAAAAATTCCATCTGATTTCTCTGTTTTTTTCTTTTTTTTACACAAACATAATGCGTCCGGAAAAATAAAAATTCCTCATTTTTATTGTTACTGATTCAGCTCTCTTGTCATCATCTTTCTTGATTTTGGTTTTATTGCAAACCTTTATAAGTGTTCTCATCAACGTCAAAACTCCTCTCAGAATCAAATAAAAATCACCACTTCTCTTTTATCATCATCACTCTCCAAATTCCATTAATTTCTCTCCTTGAAGTTTTCGATCATGGCTGTTGCTGAGGAATTCGTTAAGAAAAATGTTCATCCAAACGACGTTGTTATCAATCTCAATTGTCCGAAAGCCATCAACACCATAAACCTTAATTGTGCTCATTTTAATGTTCATTGGATATTATAAGTATTTTGTACAAAAAAAATATTGTAAAAAACATAATTAACAATACGTAATTTCAAACCTTTTAAAAAATATTTTATAAATTAAAATAAACATAATTAAGGGTTGATCTCTCTAATTTTATAAATTCTAAATTATTGAAAATATGTTTTTATAACAAAATTTTATAATATTTTATAAAAAAAAGTTTAAAAAAGTTCAAAATTAGAGGGTTAAAAATATTTATATAATTTATAAAATATTTATAATATTTTATAAGAAAACAAAGTTCAAGATTAGGGGGTTAAAAATATTTAAAAAGATAATTAAAATAAACATATTTATAATATTTTATAAGAAAAAAAGTTCAAGATTAGGTGATTAAAAATATTTAAAAAGATAATTAACACTCGGAATGATAAAACGATGTCGTTTTGGTATTCTAAGTAATGATCAACCCGATTGACCGTTACATATAATGACAATTGAGAAAATTAGATTACTTTTGCTAAAAAAATCAATAGTTTGGGGTTCAAATTACATAATTTGATACTAAAGTCCTAAAATTACTAAATCGCAATAGAATGGAGGCAAAATTTGCTATTAAATCTTAATTTTTTATTTTTCAGCTATTTTTTTGCCACTTGGCAAATTAATCTTATGTAGCACGATACGTGGATTTTTATATGCATAGTGTCGGTTTCAGTCAAAAAATTGACGACAAAAAACAATCAAAAGACTCACATTAAGAAAAATTAAAGAGTATAAGAAGGGGTTGGATTTAAAAAAAAAAGTACAAGAGCCATATTAAAAAATTAAAAGAGTTAGAAATTAAAAAAAAAATTGAACTATCACCCCTACATTTGAACTACATCCCACCAATAAAAAACCCGGAAAGAAAAAAGAAAAAAAGAAAAAAACATCTAGAGCTCTAATACTATGAAAAACACAAGAATGATAGAAAGATTTGTATGCTCGTATTAGAAAAAAAAATTATTCAAGACTCATATATATATATATATATATATATATAATTTAGACTCATATAAAAAGTAAAAAGTAAATATACACTCATGATGACTCTTAAGTTGGATATTTGAAATCATATTTTATCTAAAATAATTAAATGTTGTAGTACGTGAATCTTTTTTAACATTATATATTATTTATGTGTTTGATATAGATTAAGTTCTTCAATAGTTTTACGCGTTTACAACTTATCTCTTGAACTCTGTCTCTTTAAAGTTCTTACAACATATTAAATTAGATGGTTGATACGTTGTTCCATCCAAAAGAAAAGTCCTATTGTGTATGATTCATTTTCAATTTGGTATATTACTTATTTCACTATAAAAATAATTGTAGTTTGTGATGGGATATTATCGACGGTTGAAACCGTCACTAATCAACAAAAAATTGCGACGGTTAGGAAAAAAGGGTAATTTTCCGTCATAATTTTTTATGAATTTAGTAATGGTTTTAAAAATTGTCACTATTTAGATCAAATCTCATCGATTTTTGCTATGGTTTTTTTCAAACCGTCGCAAATTGACACAAAATTTGAAAACCGTTGCTAAATTTTATTTATTTTTTATTTTTTCTTTGTAAGGAAGTTGCGATGGTTTTTTTCAGAAAAAACCATCCCGAATATACCAAAATTAGTGATTGTTTTCAAAACCGTCACTAAATTTTGACTTTTGGGGGAAAATGACTATTTTGAATTTTTTGGTAAAATTAAAGATAGTTTTAGCATGATTTTTAAATCGTCACTAAATTTAAATTTTTTTTTTTTTGCTTTGTAAGCAAGTTGCAATGGTGTTAAAACCGTCGTTAAATTTTGACTCGTTGGAGAGAAAATGACTATTTTGAATTTTTGGATAAAATTAGCGATGGTTTAAAAACTATCGTTTAAAGTTTTAATCCCTAAATGTTGAATTTGTTTTCCCACAATTTCTTTTCCTCTCTTATTCCAGTCGTGATTTTCTCCTCCTCGTTATCTCCATAACTTCTTCAAATCTCCTCTAAATCTCCTTCTTTCTCTTATTTTCCTATTCCCCTCCATCTCTCCCACTTTCTTCCTCCCTTTTCTTTTTCTTTCTCCCCTTCCGTCCACCTCCCGAATCCGACCTCTCCATCGTGAACGGTGCCACGACAACAGGCACCACCGTGGTGTAGCGGCTCCTCCATAATCTAATCCTCAAAGTATCTTATTGGTAACCTATTTATTCATTTTTTTTATTGCAATTATTAAATTTTATGTTAATTTTTGTTGTTAATTGTTGTAGTTGTTTATTATTTATTAGTTAATTATTAATGTAATTGTTGTTAATTATTTATTATTTAATTAGTTAGTTTAATTGTTGGTATTTAAAAATTTTAATTGTTAATTGTTGATGTTTTATTATTTATCGATTAATTGTTAGTTAGTTTTAATTAATTTTTTTATTATAAGTAATTGCTATTTGTTGGTTATTAAATTAAGTATAATTATTTGTATTTAAATAATTTTATAAGAGTTAATCTCATTATTTATGTATTTAATATTTTTTTATTTATTTGGTTATTAATTTAAGTGTAATTGTTTGTATTTAAATAATTTAATTGCTCTTGAAATATTTAATAGGTGGTATTAATTTAATTAAATAAACTATTGATTGTTTATTAAGTGATTTTCAATAAAATTAATAAAATTATTTAATTATATTAGTCATAGTTTAATTATATATTTAGGTGTTAATTCAACCTTAATTAAGTAAATTTATTATTTATTAATTAAAATATTAAAATATTTTTTAAAATAATATATTAGGTTGTTAATTGAGAAAATTAGTTTACAATTATATTATATAAATATTGTGTAAAATATATAATTAATTATTACTTTAATTTATTTGTTTTTTAATTAAGTTTATTTAGTTTTTGATTAAGTGAATTACTCAATAAGTAATTTAATAATTTATGTTTAAAATAAATATTTAAGTGTAATTTTAATTAATTATGTGTTTAACAATTTTTATTTAGTTGATTATTAAAATAAGTGTAATTTTTTGTATTTAGATAATTTAATTGGTCTTACAATATTTAATAGATGGTGTTAGTTTAATTAATTAATTAAATTTTTTGTTGAAATAATTAGTTTGTTAGTTAATTTTATTAAATTTTATATATTATAGTAATTGTGATTTTATCAACAAGTGCAATTTTCAAAAAGAATTATCTCTCTTTTGTCTATATGCTACGGACCATAAAAGGGATGTCTCCGATTACAAATGAAATAGTGGCTAATAATATCGCATTTCAAGCTCTGGTTGTTTTTGTCGGTGTTTCTCTTGCTAGAATTATAGTTATAGTGATTGCTCATTGCAAGTGAATAAATTAAATCATGATCGTCTTGTTTTGCAAATTTCATTATGTTCATGCTATTAATTTCTTTCCACACTTCAGCGTTTTTCATTTCTAATTATTTAATTAACATATTCCTTGCGGTTTAAGGATTAAGAATCAAATCCATTAGCTCTACGCAAGATTGCTAAAGCAAAGGTCGTCATTTTGTTAATTCACCATCGATGACTTAAATTTGATCAAGGTTTTTAACTACGACATTTCCTTTGTAAGCAAACCAAAAAATATATCTATATATTTGTGATGTAACTATATATGTAAGGTTGATTTTAGGCGGACATATGTGTATATATAATATTGGTGTGTGTGTGAGTATATTTCTACCCATTGATTTTCATTTCATACATAAGATATTAGCTTTTCTTTTTGGAAATACTTTGGTCTATAAAGTTTTAAATACATTTTATAATTGAGACTCGTAATATGGTTTTATATTCTTGGTTAACACACTCTCTCAAGTAAATGAAATTAAAGCATGTATTAACTCATCACCACGTTATACATAATTTTTTTACCAGAAAAATATTAGATATGATGATATTAGTAGAATATGAAAATATATTTTAGTTTCAATTATTTTTTGTTGAAATAATTTAATTTTATTAAATTTTTTTATGGAAATATTTTAATATATATTTAATTTTATATATTATAATAATTTTGTAATATATATTTTTAGTTTTTAAACTTGAGTAGGTTAATTTAAAAAAATTAAAAATTGGATAAAAAAATTTTAGCTGTTTAGCAACAGCTTCATAAACCATCACTAATTTTCAAAGTTCAGCTATGGTTTTTTTTTTGAAAATTTACGATGGTTTTAATTAAATTAGCAACAGCTTTTTTCTATCGCTAAATTAGCGACGAACTTAAAAAACCATCTCTAAAAATTAGTGACAAACTTTTTGGAAAGGGTTTTCCAATCATCGCTAATTTTATTTAGTGACGGTTTTTTAAGAATTATCGACGGTCTAATTTACAATTTTCTTGTTGTGTTTATTATTTATTTACTCGATGTTGAATAAATTTTCTAACACTTTCTTTTACTAATTTGTCTTTTTCAGATTTATTAAGTTGTTTAGACTCAATAATTTTTGTTAAGCCATTGAATCCTTTTAAAACTCTGATATCATATTCAATTATATAGCATAAATTGAATGTCATCTAAAAATTTAAGTTTTGTGATAACTTTATATATTATTCATCAATTATTTATTGATTTAACATGACATAAATTTACTAATAGACGCTAAGACCACATAATGAATTGTGGAACCTATTATCGTACCTACTGTAAATGCAAACTTTTAGGCTTGGATATTATCCTACCATGGAAGAGTTAGGCGAAGTATTTGAAAAGAAAGGTTGAGCATCTATATATAAAAGCAAGC